CCATCACTATAATTTCTGTTCTTACTATAATTAATACAACCACATAATTATTTACTTGCTAACTAACTAACCAATCATTCAACATTTCAACCGACCAACCAATCAGCCCCCAACCAGCTAACTAACCAATCTACCAACCATTCAATTTACTGACCAATCACAGGCATCCTTCAGGGAACTTCCGGCCTACTTTTGGCCTTCGACGAATCAGAGGTCAGGAAAATAATTGGGATATGTAAGAATGTTCTAGAATACCTGGATATCACAGAAGTGGTAGAGAGCCTCGAAGACCTTGTGACCTTTGTCAAGGTCATTATGGTAGTGGTGGTGATGGTGATGGTGATTGTGGTGGTAGTGGTGATGATGATTGTGGTGGGAATGATGATGATGATGACGATGATAACGATGATGAAATGAATGTTCTGGAATATCTGCCAAAAGAGTCGAAACTGATGTGATGTTGTGGTGTGTGTGTCACATTGATGATGATGGTGGTGATTATTATTACAACAACTATGATTATGGTTATAATTATTGTATGGGTGTCATCATCATCGTCATCATCATCAGAATTTGAGTCCGGTTTTGACGAAAATGGCCAAAGAAGTGGACAGCAGGGAAAAAGAACTGACCCATCAGGTCCACAGGGAATGGTCAGTCATCATTATTATTGTCATCATTATTATTATTATTATTATTGTTATTATTATTATTAATATAATAATACACGTGAATACAAACGCCAGAAATATAAAAACTTGAAATTGAACTTAAATTCAGTCTACAATAACTGTTCGCTAATTATTAACTCATTTGAAATATCACCTGTGGGTTTTTATAACAATTTTAATCTAACTTTGTTTAAAATTTGATGGCCGAAATCTTTTAATGAAAAGTTGATTAACGCGGTAATTAGCTCGTCATGTAGCATACATTGTGATAGAAACACTACTTAACCGATTTTAAAAATATCTTTTTTACTTTCAAGCACTTGTTGATCAAAGAGCATGAGAGTATCGTACATTATATTTTATATTTTATTTATTTACACTCTAATGTATAATTAATAATTTTCGATGGATTCCATTTGGTTTTTGTTTTTCTGTAAATAAAAGAATGTTCCCATTATTATTATTATTATTATTATTATTATTATTATTATTATTATTATTATTATTATTATTATTAGAATCAAGTCTCAACCACGTTCTTTCGCTTGTGAGTCAGGGCACAATTATATCAAAAATAAAAACCGTCATCAAAACTAATAATATTTCTCGTTGGTCAAAAACTCTGGAGAATGTTGCTGGAGTCCTCTTCAAATTTGCCAGAAAATATTTGGTACAGCAACTGCCAACAAACGCCAATTTGTTTAAATGGGGCAAAACTCCTCTGTGCCCTCTCTGCGGTTGTAAACAAACAAATAAACATGCGATTTCTAACTGCGGTTCCACACCCGCACTTGAAAGATACACTGAAAGACTCAATAAAATTTTGGCCGCGACCAACCGATTGAAACTGTGTGCGCCTGCCTATTGTCGGTTGTTTGCAGATTTGAAAATTGACGGTGTTCACCCTATATCAGATCTGTTCAACACTCTACGACCTGGCATCACCATCCTACTAGGCAACACAGTAGAGATCTTAGAGTTGAAGGTCTGCCATGAAACAAATCTTGAATCATCCAGGCAATACAAGATCAAAAAATATTCAGATAATTTGCACAGTAATCTAAATGACAACTATAAACACTGCACAATAATTATAAATACTTTTGAAATATCACCAATAGGTTTTTATAATAATTTTAATCTTTCACTTTTTAAAATTTTGTGGCCGGATTCTTTCAACGATGAATTGATAGAGACTGTTATAAAGCTATCGTATGGCATATATTGTGACAGAAACAATTCGTGATATATATTTGAATATACTTCACCGCTATGTACTTTTTCTAAAAAATGAGCATTGTGGCAATCATTGACATTTTATTACATTTTATTACATTATTGTGACATTTCATTATTGTATTTTCATACTTATTTATTGTCTTTGCTTTGAAATAAAAGAGTTCTCATTATTATTATTATTATTGTTATTATTATTGTTATTGTTCTAAAGGTTACAGAGGTCGTTGAACCAGGTAAAGCAACTGACCCCGGCTTTGATTAGTAGCATTAAAATATTCGTTACTACTAAGAATCAAGGTGTGTTGGTGTTGTTCGTTCGTTCGTTTGTTTGTATGTTCGTTCGTTTGTTCCATTGATTTAAAAGATATTTGTTACTATTAGGAATCAAGTTTTGTTTTTTCTTTGTTCGTTTGTTTGTTCGTTTGGTTGTTTACTCGTTCGTTCGTTCGTTTGTTCTTTCGCTCGTTTGTTTTTTCGTTCCTCAAATTAAAAAAATATTTTTGTTGTTAGGTGGCGCTCCTCTGGCCGACGCATTGAGCAGTCGAAACTATGTGACTAGTAAAATGGCAGAGGAAGTTCACGAAATTATAAGGTTCGTCTATGTTTGTTCGTTTATGTATGTATGTGTGTGTTTGTTTGTCTGTGTGTGTTTGTTTATCTGTGTGTGTTTGTTGTTTGGTGTGTTTGTATGTTTGATTGTACGTACGCGTACATATTTGAACGTGTATGTGTGTTTATTCATGTTTGATTGCACACAACTACATACACATAACATTACCTACACACATACATACTCACATACTGGTATACTCACATACACACACTTACCTACACACGCAAACACACACGCACACACATACACACACACATGCACACATACATACACACACAAACACGCAAACACACATACATACACACACACACTCACACAAACACACAGAGTGCTACAATTGACGACATACGATGAAGAGGAGTGGGATGATGATGATATCACCGTCATGAAGAAAGCACAGGTTGCTTATAATTATTATTTTAATATTTATATTTATAATTATAATAATTATATTTATAATTATAATTATTGTTATAATTGAAGAATGGCATTGATAACAAGATGAGGCAGGCGCAAGATTGGCTGTCTGACCCTGAGGCTCTTGTCGGGAGCGCCGGTTAATTATAATTATTAATTATAATATAATTATAATTATGTGTAAATTATAACAACTATAACATTAATCACACACATCTACACATTCACACACACACATACACGCACACACATAAATACATACATATAAACAAACAAACACACAATGCATGTAATATGCGGCGATTTCTTGGCATTTGAATCCAGTCACTGTGACATCAGTGCCAGGTTCTTTAACCACTACACCACTGCACCACCCGTCATTGTGAAATAATTTTCCTCGCCAGGTGAGCACGCAGTTCGAAATATCCTCGACTACGCCACCAGAGTGGCCGACAGGAGCGTCAGCGACGACGACAGGGAAGCCATCTGCAAGTCTGTGTCCAATGTGGCCTCCATGATGGACGCCCTCTGTGAACTTAGAAGTCAAGGACAGGTCAGTTGGTTGGTTTGTTTGGGAGGGTTCATTGACTGGTTGGTTGGCTGGTTGGTTGGTTGGCTGGATGGTTGGTTGGTTGCCTGGTTGGTTGTTGGTTGGCTGGTTGTTTGTTTGGTTGGTCGTTTGGTTGGTTGGTTGTTTTTTTAAGATTAGATGATAGTAATGATGACGTATTAATAACATGACGATAGATGTAATGTAGGTGATCGCGATTCTTCCATTTCAAACTCACGGAGCCGTCATTTTTTTCTCCCCTTCAGGGCAACAGCACCCAAGCCCACTCACTTTCCAGGGGCATTCAGCAGATCCTGAAGGATCTTCAGGACCGCTGCCAGAAATCCGTTATCGCCACCGATAGGAGTAACCTTAGGAAGCCAGCTCATACCATATTAGGTGAATTAGGACAATCATTATCATCACAGTTATCAACTTAATCGTTATTGTCATCATCAACATCATCATTCATGGACTTTATTATCGTTACAAACATTATCACTAGGAAAACTTGAGCAGGCAGATAGGTGGATTGCCAATCCGTCCGTCGATGATAATGGATTGGGTAGGTTTGTCTGTCTCTCTGTCTCTGTCTGTCTGTTTGTCTGTCTGTCTGCGTATGTTTGTTCGTTTGTCTACTGTCTGTATGCTTGTCTGCGTATGCCAGTCTGTGTGTTTGTTGATGACGATGACAATGATGAGGAAGATGACGCCGACGATGGTGAAGATAATGATGACGTTGACGATGACGATGAAGATGGGGACGACGACGATGACGTCATCATGGTAATGTAGTAAGAATAAATTTTGTTCAGGCTTTCAGGCATGCAAGCAAATTGCAGAGGATGGCGTTAAACTAGTCGAGAATATGCCCAACAATAATAAGTTTGTTGTTGTTGATGATGATGGTGACGACGACGACGATGATGATGGTGACGATGATGATATAGCATAGTGATGATGATGATGATATAGCATGGTGAGATGATGATAGTTCTGAATTATATTATCAATTTATTGTTATTTTGTTTTTGAACATTTCTGTCCGTTTTATGTTACTAAAATGATATAATTTAATTGCACCATTTAGTTAAGGTAGTCTACACAAGTTTTTCTTTTTTGATTACCTGTTTTGACAAAATAAATTGGAAAAAAAAAAAGATGATGATAGTTACTAAATTCCAGACGGTCAGATATGCTGCAACTCTGCAAGGAGGTCAATTCACTTACCGAGCAGCTGGATGAACTTTCCAGGAGAGGACAGGTGATGATGATGGTGATGGCGATGGTGATGATGATGATGATGAAAATAGCTGTGATGATGACGATGGCTGAGATATCTAGTCATTCATTCAAGTAACAGTTTATTCATTTATACATTTATTTGTTCATCCTTCCTTGTATCCATTCGTTCATTCGTTCGTTCATTCATTCATTCATTCATTCATTCATTCATTCATTCATTCATTCATTCATTCATTCATTCATTCATTCAGGGTAGTTCACCTCAGGCCAGGCAGACAGCCATCATGCTCGCCCAAAAGTTGAACCAGCTTAAGAATAAGATTCAACAGGAGCTTGTCGAGAAGGTTTTGATGATGATGGTGGTGGTGATGATGATATGGAGAGTCATGATGATGATAATGATGGGGCTTATGGTAATGATGTGTGCCTGTGTATATTTCATTCATTCTTTCGTTCGTTCGTTCGTTTATTCATTCATCCATGCATTCATCATATTGATGATGAAGATGATGATGACGACGACGATGATGAGAACGGTGGTAGTAAAGATTTGAAAGTTCAATTGGTAACTGCCTTGTTGTAATACTGCCAAAATAGGTAGCAGATCACTTCCTGGACATTTCGACACCTTTGAAGCTCCTCTCTGACGCTGCTAATGCACCTTTCGGTATGTTCTATCTAACATCTAACTAATTCTAAACATCTTGCTATCTTTTTCTAACTCTAACCGAACGTCGTACTAAACTGAATTCTTCTTTAAGTTTTTGCAAGTTAACATTAATGAAAAGCGTAAAGATACACGTACAGACACACGTACACACACACACAACGACACAACGTACACAACCACACGCACACAAAGGTACGGCAAATCGCCAGCAGACGTTTGAAGATCGCCTGAAGAATTTCACGGAACATTCGAGAAATATGGTGTCAACAGCCAAGCAGCTCGCCAGGTCTGGGGCATGCAATGACAGGAGAACCGTCGAGGGCCTAGTTATGTCTGCCCAGATTGTTAGCCATTGTTCTGTCTGTGTGTTTGTGTATCTGTCTGTCTGTCTGTGTGTACGTCTGTTTGAATGGATGAATAAACGAATGAATGATTGAGTAAATGCATGTGTGTGTGTCTTTGTGCACGTGTGCGTCTGGGTGTATATCTGTTCGTTTACTCTTTCATTCATTCATTCATTCATTCATTCATTCATTCATTCATTCATCTATTCACCCTTCATCATTGATATGTATGTAGGTCGAGGACCTGCAGCCGCAGCTGACGAAAGCAGCGCGCATAGTGCTGAACGATCCGACCAATCAGGCGTCGACCGAGCACTTTGACCTACTTAAGAAGCAGTGGATGGGGGATGTGGAGAGGCTGAGGGGGCTGGCAGACGAAGCCATTGATACTGATTCCTTCATTAGGGAGAATGGTGAGCAGTTACGATAGTGATGATGATGATGTTGTTGTGATGATGATGATGTAGTGGTTATGATGATGATGTAGTGATGATGATGATGATGATGATGTAGTGGTTCTCTTTATCATCATTACCGCCATTACAATCATCGTCACCATCACAATCATCATCGAACGAACAACAGAGGAGGCCATCCTGAGAGAGACAGATAGAACTGAACACAGTGCTTCTGTTGCAGATTCAACCGGTCAGACATCATCATCATCATCATCATTATTATTATTATTATTTATTATTAATTATTATTATTATTGTTATTATTATTATTCAAATTGAGAGAGAGTACAACTAGAGTTAATTAGTTTAAAATTTGAAATAAATCAGTTTTAAAACTAATTAACTCTGGTTGTACACTCTCTCTCGATTCGAATGACGAGCTTCGCGGGTTAATACTCTATTCATTGCATTTGACATTTTATTTTATTTCATTATTTTATTTTATTCGTACTGCCATTTCCATTGTTTTTTTTATTTCTGAATTAAAGGTTATTCCCATTATTGTTGTTATTATTATTATTATTATTATTGTTATTTTATTATTATTATTGTTGTTGTTATTATTATTACTAAGGGGTTGTGTCTGCAACTTCCTCCATTGCTAGGAGAGCTCACAGGGTTCTTCAGGTCTACTGCTGATGACGATGATGATGATTTGTGTGAATGACTGAATGAAGGAATGTTTGCATGGACAAATGAATGAGTGAGTGAGTGAGTGAGTGAGTGAGTGAGTGAGTGAGTGAGTGAGTGAAGAAATGAATTGAATATATATTAAGAGTGGCTGTATATATGAGTCAAAAAATTACTGAATGTACTGACGAACGAATTAATGGATAAATGAATGAATAAATGAATGAATAAATGAATGAATGAACGAACTCTAGGTAGCACAATCAGAGGCAGACAACAGTGAAGACCCAAGATACGTTGATAACATTCAGCATGCTGTAGGCGTTCTAAAGAATGGTACGTGTGTTTGCATGCGTTTTTTTGTTTGCATGTATGTTTGTTTGTGTATATGTATGTTTGTGTGTATGTATGTATTTTTGTGTGTATGTTTGTGTGTATGTTTGTATGCAACATCGCCATAGATATAGCACCTATGATACAGACTGCAAAGGGTTTGGCGCAGAACCCGCACAATGCGGAGGCTGCTAACCAGTGGAGAAGTGCCAATCAGCAGGTTGGTTGGTTGGTTTGTTGGTTGGTTGATTGGCTGGTTGATTGGTTGGTTAATTAGTTGGTTTGTTGGTTGATTGGCTCATTGATTCAGTAGTTGGCTGACTAATTAACAGTAGTTGGCTGACTAATTAACTGATTGATTGATTAATTAAACGATAGACTGACCGTTTGTTTGTTTGATTGATTGATTGTTTGATTGATTGATTGATTGATTATTTTCTAATCCCTGACCAATCGTCAACAATCTAATCATACCAGCTGATTGATTCAGTGTCTAATGTTCGCCTGGCGGTCAACGAGAGGGGCGGCTACCCCAAACCACCCGATATATCAAGATTGTATCTGTCAGGTATGTTTGTTTGTTTGTATCAATTTACGTGTATCTATCTTTCTATCTATGTATATCAGTGTTTACGTGTGTATGTGTGTGTATATATCTTTGTGTGTATTTGTTCATTTGTTCGTGTACCTATCTATCTATCTATTTCTATCTATCTCTCTGTCTGTCCTATTCTTTCTTTCTCTTTATGATTTTTCGTTTTTCATCAAGTATCTTTTTTCACTATCTCTTCGTCGATGACATCAGCAAATCAATCAATCAATCAATCAACCAATCAATCAATCAATCATCCATTCAACCAACCAATCAATCATCCATTCAACCAACCAATCAATCATCCATTCAACCAACCAATCACAATTGTCAACGATATCCTATGATAGCCTCGCCAAGGATACAGCAACAACAACCACAATTACATCAACAACAACATCAACAACAACATAAACAACAACAACAACAACATCTTCATCAAATGACGTCACCGCCGCCAATGCCGCCCTCCCCCAACCACCGTGGGGGTGATTTTTCACCCGGTTCATTTAGAGGTGGTTTATATATAGTCTGTTTTGTGCGTGCGTGCGTGCGTGCGTGCGTGCGTGCGTGCGTGTGTGTGTGTGTGTTTAACAAGCTATTTGGTTAGTTTATTTTAACATATGGTCTAATAAATTAATTGGTTCACTTAGCAAATATAGTTAGTACGGATAGAAAAAGGAGGATATTTTTATTATTATTATTATTGTTTGAAATTATTATTATTATTATTACTCAGTTATTGTTATTATTTAACAGCTCTAACACGTTTATATATTTTTTTTTGTTTGTTTTATTATTTGTTTAATCTTTGTTTGGTTAACAATTTGTTGGTAGTTAATTGGTTGATTAACTAATTAATTAATTAGTTTATTGATTCATTTATTTATAGTTGTCTGTAATTTTTTACCAAATGTTTCATTAATCATATTTTCATTCATTCGTTCGTTCGTTTACATTGTCCATTAATTCGTTCGTTCGTTCGTTCATTCATTCATTCTTTCATCTATTAATTATTATTACAATTATCTTTAACTTGTTAATTACTCACTTGATTGAGGTTTTTTTTTTATTAGTTAATTGGCTTTTTAATTAAGTTCATATTTAATTTTTTACTATACATTTCGCTACGTTAACTCCCTTTCTATATCAATCAATCAATCAATCTTCGTTTTGCGTCCAGAGACCCGGTTTCCCGAGGTAGGACGTATATATATTTCTCTTTATGTCTATATATATATGTCTTTATGTCTTTATTTCTCTATATGTCTCTTTCTATATATATTACAAACATACATATATACATACATATATACATACATACATACATATATACATACATACATACACACAAACATACATACATAACATACTTACGTACACATTGTCATATACAAATCATATTAACACATTTTCTTAATACACATATACATACGTACTTATTCAGATTATCAGGACTCACATCCGCCCCCAATCCCTCCACCTCCCCACGAGATGGTCCCACCCAGGCCACCACCCCCCACCGAAACTGATGACGAGTTTGAAACGTCATTTCCGATTCCGCAATCGAATCAGCCAATCATGGTTAAACTGCTTGTTGTTGTTGTTGCTGTTGTTGTTGTTGCTGTTGTTGTTGCTGCTGCTGCTGCTGTTGTTGTTGTTGTTGTTGTTGTTGTTGTTGTTGTGGGTATTCGTATTTTGTTGTTGTTTTTGTTGTTGTCGATGTTAACTCAGCTTTGCGACTAAACAATTTTTGAAATTCAACAAATTGAAAGTGAACACACAAGTAGTACACATTTGAGCAACACGCACAAGAACACGATAGATGAAAATAGATCCGTTCGCATTTGAATCTAGTCTCTACGTCAGAGTAGACGAGCACTTTATCGTTCCGCCACTCAAGCTATTAATAAATGGAAATGAATTTTTCAAGATGGCGGCTCATGCCCTGCACATGGATGTGAAGCAGTGGTCCAGCAGGGATAATGATTTGATTGTTTCCGCTAAGAGGATGGCCCTGCTGATGGCCAAGTTGAGTCAACTGGTCAGGTTGGTTGGTTGGCTGGTTGGTCGGCCCTACTTTCTCATTCGTCCATTCATTCATTCATTCATTCATTCATTCATTCATTCATTCATTCATTCATTCATTCATTCATTCATTCATTCATTCATTCATTCATTCATTCATTTACTCATTCAAATGTAAATCTATCGAAATAATATTCTAATTAGATCATTCATACAACACTAACTCACGCGCGCAAGTTCTATAACATTCTAACAAATCTAAAATCTCATGAAATCTAAAAATCCTGAAAAACTGCAAAAATTGAAAAATAATTTTTTAAAATAATTTCTCCAGAGGAGAAGGAGGCACGAAGAAAGACCTGATCGACTGCGCACGGTCGATAGCAGAAGCCTCAGAGGAAGTGACGGCATTGGCCAAACAACTAGCACATGAGTGCACCGATAAGCGAATGAGAATGGTAGGCGTCTTGCTATTGGTTGATGATTTGAATGCTGGTCGGTGATTGGTTGAGTGTTCATTGCTGATTGGTTGATGGCTTGAAAATTGGTTTTAATTCATTGATTGAGTGTTGGTTGTTGATTGGCTAATAGTTTAAATCCTTATTCTTTATTGGTTGATAGTTAGAATCCTGGTTGGTGTTTGGAGTGTTAGTTGCTGAATGGTAGACGAGTCGAAGGCTGATTGCTAATTGGTTAATTGTTTGAATACCGGTGTTTGATTGGTTGGTGGTTTCAACCAATCACAGAACTTGTTACAAGTATGTGAACGAATTCCAACCATTGGAACTCAACTGAAAATTCTCTCCACCGTCAAGGCCACCATGCTGGGGGCCCAAGGTTATTATTATTATTATTGTTGTTGCTGTTGCTATAATTATAATAATAATAATTATTATTTATTATTAGTAGTCATGGTGGTAGATTTAAATTGACTAATGCCAACAATTCGGTTGAATTCGTACAGTACTGTATAACCTTCCAACATATATTACACACTCCCATGCATGTTCGTATGTATGTGTGTGTGTGTGTTTTTGTGTGTGATCTATTAGTTTTTTACTTCAAAAACCCACCCTCGTATACTTAAATTTCAACTGATAATTTTTCAAAATTTTAAATTCAAATATTTGTGTGTGTATTTTTTTTTGTTTGTTTTTGTGTGTGTGATTGTGTGTATGTGTGTGATTGTATGTGTGTGTGTGTGTGTGTGTGTGTGTGTGTATTTATAAGTGTGTGTGTGTTGCTAATTGGATTGATAGCGAGAAAATAACGAAAATAACTTCGTCTGTTTCATTCCTATGCTTAATTCCATGTTTTGGTTTTTTTTTTATTTCTCATTTTAAAATATTTTCATTTGTTTTTATTAACCCTTAACTGTACTAACCAACCAGCCAGCCAGCCACCAAGCTAGCATTCAATCAACAAATCGGTTAATCAACCAATCATTCAACCATTCAATCCATCAATCAATTAATCAGGAAACCAATTAACTATTAGCTAGTCAACTGCCCAACCTGTTAATCAACTAATCAACTGACTAATCAAGCAAATAACATAGAAATCAGTCAATCAAATAAACCAATCAATCGGTCAACTAATCAATCATTCATATTACGACCAATCATATTTCGACCAATCACATTTCGACCAATCACATTACGACCAATCACATTTTGAATTTCTTTTCCTTTAACCCCAGAAGAATTTTATAGCCCAGATGGTAGCGAAATATTTTTTGGTAAAATATTATCTATTTGTTATTATTATTATTAATTGTTATCATAAATATTATTATTATTATTTTGATAGTCTTAGTAGTAGTATCATTTAACGCTATTGTTGGTATCATTTTTTAATTATTCTTTTATTATTCTTTTTTTATTTATTATTATTATCAATTATTATTAATTATTATTATTATTTTGTTATTAGTGTATCTGTTGTTGAAGTTTCTTATTAACATTTTTATACACGCTTTGCTTCTCGCGTTATAACAGTTTCAAGTAAGATTGATTGATTAATTGATTGGTTGAGTGATTGATTGACTGACTGACTTATTGATCGATTTAGTTAAGTGATTGAATAATTGGCTAATTAATTGATCTTTATTTATTGATCGTAGTTAATTAGTTGCTGTTTAAATAGATTGAGATAATTAATTGTTAGTTTGTCGTTTAATTAATTATTTTCATCGCTTAGTCGAAGGGTGGGCAAACTTTTTATCGTGAGGGCCGCAACTATTTTACCTTTTACCTACTTCAATAGCAAATTTATTCGACCCGGGGGAGAAATTTTTCAAGTTTTTTTTTGGCGAACAAGGCCCGCAAGCCGTAGTTTGCCCACTCCTGGTTTAGTCTATTTTTATAAGATAAATTGATGATTGATTGATTGATTGATTGGTTGATTGATTGGTTGGTTGATTGATTGGTTGGTGGGTTAGTTGGTTGATTGATTTATTGATTGATTGATTGATTGATTGATTATATCCTTAAAAATCTATCAATTTTAATTAAATTTTTCATCAGTTGAGAATCACCTTGTATGCAATTTGTGATGTTGGATTTTTATTTAGAATTCCTCTCTATAATTGAATTATTTCAGATATTTGTTTACGAATTAATCTGTATAGAACTTCGATTAGTAATTCTTCAATTTATTTTTATTATTTATATTCCTCTTAAAAGTTATATTTTTTAATTTTACTCTAATTTGGTGATACTTCGATTCATCGCGAACCATCCCAGAAACATACAAACACCAACAAACACATACACACCCGTGCACTAATACAAATAAACATACAAATACACACACTTACGCACGACTACACACATTTATACACAGACACCACTAAACACCAACACCAGTGTCCACAAACACATATACGGCAAAACCAACATTACACACACACACGCTCACACACATACACACGCTCACACACACGCACGCACATACAGGTTTAGAAAAGTATTCCAATTACACATACTCACAATTAAAATTACGCATACTCTCACATGTACACCAAATCATAACACACAATAAGCACCGGAAATACCACACACACACAACACACACAAACAAACACCCACACACACACAACACACACAAACAAACACCCACACACACACATTCTTCTTCTCTCTCTCTTTCTTTCACAACACACTCTCACACACACACACAGACGCACACACACTAACAAACACGCACGCACACACGCTCTTTCTCTCTCTCTCTCTCTCTCTCTTTTTTCCACAACACACACTCTCTCTCTCTCTCTCTCACACACACACAAACACACACGCAGGTTCCGATGAAGACCAGGAGGCGACTGAAATGCTGGTAGGGAACGCACAAAACCTCATGCAGAGCGTCCGCGAGACGGTTCAGTGCGCCGAGGCCGCTTCCATAAAAATCAGAGTTGATTCGGGCTACAGCATTAAGTGGATTAGAAAGAGGCCGTGGTATGCCTAAAATGTCGCCAGACTGTATCGCTATTGCTATTTCTAGGTGGTATCGCGATATCGCTTGTCGCCAGATTCTCTCGGAGGTTAATTTAAGAAGCAGTTTTCAACGAACGACGTCAGAAGCAGTCGTGTTTTACTGTCGAATCCCTTTTATACCTTCTTGTTACTGGTTTTTTTTTTTTGTTGTTGGAACGAAGGTTTTATAAAGTGAAATAATGAAATGTAGTAATAGAAATAGTTTCACGCACACACACACACACGCACGCACACACACACAGAGGCGGACAAATACACAGGCAGAAAGACACAGACACACACACACACACATTTTTTCTGGTTTTTTTTGCAGCAAATTTCTTTTGGTATATTAGTTGTTAAGTGTTATGCGTGTGCTAACTATCGATTCGATCATGCTTATATAAATAGCTTAATTATGTGAATTATGATTTAAAATATTTATGTTGTATGTGTTGTATGTATAAATATTTATATTTATTTTGTTATTTTATTCATCCATTAGTTCTTTCATCCGTCGTTCGTTCATACAGTCCAGTCGTTCATTCGTTCGTTCACTCATTCATCCATTCGTTCATTTAAGCTCTCATTCATACGTATTTACATATTTGCATTTGTATTATATAGAGCAGCAGTAGTAGCAATCTATCTAATAAACGTGTTTTGAATACAGAATGAATCCTTATTTATATATATATATATATATATATATATATATATATATATATTTTTAATTTATTTGTCCTATAATATTCCCCCCACCCGTAATTATTATTAATAATATTTTGTTGTTGTTAACATTATTATGAAATTATTTCTGTCTTTTTTCTCTTCAAAGATTTCCAAATTTTCAATGAGCCTACGTATCTCTTCTTTAGCAGATGAATGAAATGATTTTTTAAAGGATTCATTATTTTACTCCCTCTCTTTCATTCTTTTTTCTCTCTTTCATTCTTATTCTTCTCTCTCTCTCTCTCTTTCATTCTTATTCTTCTCTCTCTCTCTCTTTCGTTCTCATTCTTCTCTCTCTTTCTCTCTCTCCATTATATTAACGTAAATTATTATTGCTATCAATTCTGTTGGTTTAATATCTTTGCTATATTTTATTATTTGTTTTTCTAAACTTTTCACTCGTTCATTCATTCATTTATTCATTCATTTGTTCGTTCGTTCGTTCAATCATTCATTGTTTTATCGTTGTTCTCACCCATAAGCTTTACGTTGATTCTTCGCTTACATTTTCACTATTTTGGGTTTGTGTGTGTTTTCGTGCGTGTGTATTTATTTATTTTCCCTATTTATATATTCATTTGTTCATTCACTTATTCATTCACTCATTCATTCATGCATTCATATGTTCCTTAGGTTAGGATGCATTGACATTGTTGTCAGTTTAAATATTAGTGTTAAGTCTGTAACACTTATTTATAAGTAATGTTATCTAATGTAATGTCTTTTACTGTAATGTAATGTCTTTTACTCTAACGTAATTTATAGTGACATAATTGTTGATTATTATTGTTGTTAAGTGTTTGTGGCGTGCCTTAAAGCTTAATGTCAAATTACTAATTGGTTAATTAATTAATTGGTTGATTGACTAATTAATTTATTTATTTATTTCGTCAATGATCTGATTTGTGTCTCGAATTACATAAATTATCATCGCTGATTATATTTATATATATATTATTATATATTATATATATATGAAAACACTAACAATACTAATATTAAAACTCCATTCATTTAAGAGCAGCTCACTAAAAAAAAGTCATTATGACCAAAAAAAGATCCCCAAATCTTAAAAAAAAATTCTCCCCTGGGTCGAAAAAAATTTGCTATTTAAGTATATATGCGGCCCTTTCAAGGTAAAAGTTTCTCAATGCGGCCCTCACAGCAAAAAGTTTGCCCACCCCTGATTTAAAGAGCTGCTAGTATGTACGAATGGCTTTGCAATCATCCAGAAACATGGGACTTGAAGTGCTATATAATAAATACTAATCTACTTCTTTTTATCATTTCTTCATTGTTACTCCATAAATTTTAATTTGCGTATTAACCCTCATATAATTTTTTGCATTTTGTAATTTAAAATTTAATTGTTCATATTTATGTGTCAATCATTTGCATGTTGCTATATATATATATATATATATATATATATATATATAGAGAGAGAGAGAGAGAGAGAGACGATAATATGATAAAATAAAGAAACAATATAAGCCAACATCTTGTTTCAAATTAATCAATTTATTCATTCAATTTATTGAAAATTGAATTTAAACAAAAGATTAATAATAAGATTGATAATAATCAAATTATAATTATTACTTTTATTATTAAACTACAAATGAATGTAAAAAAAATATGAAAAACATAAATTAAAATCGAAAGGAAGTTCTTTATTAATGAATTTGTAGAAAAAAACTAAAACCATTACATACGTATGATATAAACCATTACATTACAATTCAATATAAACTTACTAATTCAAGGGTGGGCAAACTTTTCACTGTGAGAGCCTAATTGAGAACTATTTTACCTTTGAAGAGCCGAATATGTACTTAAATAGCAAATTTTTATCGACCCGGGGGAGAATTTTTTTTAAGATTGTTGCCCACCCCTGAACTAATTCATTAATTATAACAGATATAATAATAATTATTGGTATTATCAATAATATTATTTTTAATATTATAATTAATCTAGTTCTCAAAACGCATTAGAGTTCGTTTTAAGAAAAAAAAATTGAAAAGGACATTAAATAAATCAACGTAGATTACGTAGTTTGGTAAGTTTATGACGTCATTAAGCTATTATTCCCTCTCAAAATGGTTAGGCAGAAAGAAGATAAAGATAATAATATTGATGACGATTGTAACCAAAAATTAATGCTACTTATATAGCGTTTTATAACAATTATAAACATAAGTAATGACAAAAATGATAGTCATTTTTATAACGCTTTGTGGTGACAACGAAGATGGCGATGCTAATGAAAATTATCATACTCATTAAGTTCCCCAGTCTAAAGACAAAATAACGTTAGTGTATCTACAAATATTTGACCGAATTCTTCACAACGATAATTGGAATTAATTACAATTAAAAGTTTAATCGAGAAAAAAACCTGTTAGTTTAAATAAAGGATGAACAGGGTAGGACAGCTAAGCTGATTTTGCCACAAATATCAAATTTGATGTATAGTCGTCATACGTCCATACATACACTATATATACACACATATACACGCACTCATACGACACACATACATACATGCATACATACACACACAAACGTACCCATACACACTTGCATACACTCACATAAACATACATACAAGCATCCAAACAGAAAAAAATTTGTAATTACAACCGAAAGGAAGGTATGTCTGTTGGGTAATCAAAATTTCCCAGCAAACATGCCAACATTCCTAAATACATATGCAATTATAAATTTGGGATTAAAAAACAAATTAACTACAATAATAATAATGATAAGATAAATAATATATATATATATATATATATATATATATATATATATATATATATATATATATATATATATATATATATACATATAAATATGTATATTTATATGTAAATATGTGTTAATGTCAATCACAATATTAAAACAATAAATATATGTATATATATATATATTTATATTATCTACTTGTAAATTCAAAAATATAATACATACATACATATATATATACAGTATTGCATGAATTAGAATTCATACAATACTGTATATATATATATATATATATATATATATATATATATGTATCATATGTATGTGTGTATATATATATATATATATATATACACACATACATATGATTTTTAATTTGTCACATCTTAATCGCCAAAATGAGTTAGCTATTTAACAAAGTCATCATATAATCATATTCTTATAGATAGTAAATAAGGTGAGTAGTGTGGATTCTAAGACAACCTTCATGGCCATCATCGTCATCATGATCATCTATTATAATATGACCATCATCATTTTCCCTTACTTACAACCGTCTTCGTCGCAATCATCATCATCACCATATGGTCATCATCATCATATGGTCATCATCACCATTATCATCATAAGTTCATCTTCATCATCATCATATGGTTATCATCATAAGGTCATATAGTCATCAGTGACCTCAGGTTGACCTCACCGACATCGAGGATAATATCGTCATCGTCCAGTGTATAGCTGACCTTATACTTCAATTTGATTGGTTCCTGAAAATCAATGACGTTTAGATGCTGTTATGCGATTGGTTGATTATAAATAATAATCCCCATCGTCATTCATAAAACCCAGTTTCATGAATATTAATGAGATTAAAAGCTGGAATGTGATTGATTAAGTGTAAATGAATGATCCCATCATAAACCATCACATCATCATCATCATTAACACTTGACAATATCATTTCGCCTATCTCTATCTACCACAATCATAACCATGAATACTACAATCATCATCATCATCACAACTAATCATAATCATGAATACGATCATCATCATCACGACTAACTTGTAGGGGACCACCGACGAACAGTAACTGAGTAACGACATCAGGTGGTAGGATGGGATTGTAGGCCTTGAACTCCCTGCCCCCGCTGCCACCTGTTTGCATCTTCGCTCTCATTGGCTGAATAGTTGATAAAATGGGAGGGGTCAGTTGAATCATTCACTCTCTTTGGCCAAATAATTGATAAGGGGGTTTCGCCAGTTGAAATAAAACAAGTCAATTTTTGGTTAGGCCAGGCATTTGTTTGCATTTTTAATAAAATTTGTTAAAAAAATGTTTTAAGAAACTTCTTTTCAAATAGGAGGAACTATAAATGAACAGCCTGTAACAATGTTATCACCAAGATATCATCATCGTCATCGTTCTCTCCTAATCAATTTCCACAGGTGTCAACAACATCCACAAGAACGCGGAACAACCATTAAGCCACATTGCCACGCAAAAATATACATTCTCAAAATCGGTCAGCAACCTTAGAAACGGTTGCTAAGAAGCAGAAGTCCTTGACAACGCTGGGAGATGTGCTGGTCGTGGTGACGGCAATGACGTGGACGTTGGGCTTCGGTTGGAGGTCAGAAAAGTGGAAAGTGATTCGGACATTGTTCTGGTTGTATACCTCTATGAAGGGTTTCTTGTCTGCGTGTTCGTGCGCGCGTGTGTGTGTGTAAGTATAGGGTATGTGTGTGTGTGTGAAGAGGTGTGCGTTTGTCTGTGTGTGCGTGTGAGTGTGCATGCGTGTGTGAGTTTGTCTGATAAATGATTAAATAAAATATGTAATAATCTTTACTAGGCCTAAAAGATTCCAGTGGAAAAATGACGTCTTCCAGGGAAATTACATCAGATCTATTTTTAGAATCACCATTTTCGGTAATAGTAGTAGTAGTAGTGGCAGTAGCAGCAGAAGTTGTTGAAGCTGTTGCATTTTGTGACGATGATGGTGGTGATGTAGCGAATGGCGTTTGTTTAATGGCGTTTGTCGTCGGGGTAGTAGTAGTCGATGATGATAATGATGACGACGATGAAGATGATGATAATGATTGCTGTTGCGATGGGAGTAGCGATGATGACGTCGTTGATGCCGTCGACGATGACGTCATATTTTTGCTGCTCAGTTCTTTCAAAGAAATTTTGGCTGGATGACTGCATAGAAGTGTACAATTTACATGCAACACAATACAATAGAGTAAAATACAAAAAAACAATGAACAACTAAAAAATTGAATGAATGATTGAATGAACAAAATAATTTAAAGTAATTTAAACACACATTGGAGCGGCGAATGGCTTCAGTCCACTGCTTGTTAATGTTTCTTGCAGCAGAGATTTACTTAAAACGTCCAAACTACCAAGAACTGAAAGTAGGGAAGAAGTTATTTTTTTTCTTGAGAAGGCGCTAACTTATTTATCTTTATTAATTTATTTTCGGTTAATTGAAATGTTTATTTAATATTTATTTGTTAATTTATTATATTTATTGGTTTATTTATTGGTCAATCAATCAGTCAATCATTCAATCAACCAATTAATGAACCAAGGATAAAGTCAACCAAAAACACATATGACAACAGCAACAAACTTACTCCAACCAACGTCAACACACATATACACGCACACAAACAAACACACATACACACAACAAACACAAAAACAAACATACAAACACACATACTTCCAGCACTCCCTTCAGTAGCTGTAGTAGCATTAGCAATTGTTGATGTATTAAACAGTGATGATAACGATGCAGCAGTAGTAGTAGTAGTAGCAGCAACACCACCACTACTACTACTGCTAATAGATTGAAATAAATTACTCTGATATTTACTACTGGCCAAAGAACTGCCACAATATATATTACTATTAGTAGTAGTAGAAGCTTTCGGAATGATGTTAATGTTGTTGTTCATTGCAGTCGTTGTTGATTGATACCTTTGCTGTAGCTGCTGTAAGATGTTGTTGTTGCTGTTGTAAGCTGCTGTTGATGACGTCATCGATGGCGTATACGGAGGCGGCTGGTGGGGAATTAACGCTGCGGTCGGTAGCTGATTTTAAGGAAAAGGAAATCATTTCTTAATGGATATCAATACTATAACATTAACACTACAGCTACTAGTATAACTACTACTTTTATTACTACTACAATTGCCACTACTACTACTAACTGCTACTGCTTCGACTACTACAAAATTTGAAATCCAAACTGACCAGAGTAGGCATGTGTGGAGAATTCTTATTGAGAGAGGCCTGCGTGAAAATATCTTTTAATTCTGATAGGTCGCTGTTAGCAGCTGTTGTTGCAGCCGCTGTAGTAGTAGTAGCCGCTGTGAAGCTGCTGTGGTTAGTTGGCAGCGTTGCCGGTGTAGCTGATGTTGTGGCTGTGTTGCTGGAGTCAGAGTGTAGCAGTCCTAGTCAAAAAATTGTTGTTGTCGTTCGTTTAATAAATTAATTAACTTAACTGTGTGTATTTTTATTTAAATGATAAAAAACCTAAAAAAAAATATGTATATAAAACAAACATATACATATACCGTATATATAAACACGCAACGAACCAAACAAGTAAACATACAAACACGAACAAACATACAAACACGAACAAACATACAAACACAAAGACACCTAGCGACAACAACTGTTCATCTAAAAGGCTGTGTGCTACAGAGGTACCACTACTACCGCCATCTACAACGTCAACGTCATCACTAATGACGTCCAGAATAGATGAATGTAGCTGCTTTTGTTGTTGTTGTTGTTGAGATTTAGTGGTCGCTAATGGTACTCCAGAAGATGACGACGATGGGGTTTGCTTCTTGGCACTGTTAACACCTTTCAGGCAGGTAGTAGAGATTGCATTAGATAATATGTTTGTGACACTGACATCACCAGAGCCCTACTACATTCATCATCATCATCGTCATCACCTTCAGCATCATCATCATCACAGTCAAATACTAACCATCGTCAATGGCCAGTAGATTGCCGACATCAGATTGGTTGATGAGTGAGTCGTACAATGACAACACCTGGATGACGTCATCATTGGCTTTCAATATCTCACCTGTGTGATTGAAAGGAATCACGTTCTGTAAATTTTAAAGTAAGTCAATCAAACACAGCCAACCAATGAAATGAGTCTAATGTTATAGCAAGCATATCAACCAATTGAATGTCTCTAAAATAAAATCAAACCATCCAATGAAATCATAACATAGAATTATGTCAACCAATCGAATTTGACCAACCAATCCCGCTGTTCTCCTTCTCATCCGAGTCACTGGCTAATTTGAATAAGGCAGGGCGTTGTTTTTCGATATTTTCAGACAATTCCTGCGTTGAAGATTAAAAAATCAATCACTGAACAAACAAAAAAAATTAACAACAACAACAACCAATAATAATAATAATAATAATAATAATAATAATAGCGAAAACCCTCTCCCACCTTCATGATCTCCCTATCGGATTCAGTCGAGTCCCCGGGTTGATAGTTTTGCAGCATCTCGCTCAGAAGTTTCACATTGTCCGAAACCGTTTCCAGTTGCTGGGTGCGTCTGGTAACCTTCTCGACTCTCTCCGCATCCTGTCTGACCATATTTTTTATCAGCCTGTTGGCCGCTTGCAAGTCGTCCAGGTTCTTACTCTTCAACAATCTCGACAGGAGCTATAATGAAAATCAAATGATTAGAAATATATGGGTAACGAATGGTAATAAATAAATCAATGTTGATTTACTCTGCTATTCATTCCTTCATTCATTCACTCCTTCATTCACTCATTCATTCACTCATTAAAGACTAATATTAAACTAATATTAATAGAATAATTCCATAATATTATAACTATACCTTGGACTTAATTTCATAATATTATAACCCTACCTTGGACTTTTCCTCATCTTCGAAGACGGAATTATTTTTTTTAGGGACAGGTGGAGGTGGGGGCGGGGTCGGTGGCGACGGTTGGGGCCTGATTATCTCTTGCACATTACACTGAAGCGAGGGGAGGAAATAATAAATTTATGAATAAATAGGAAATACAGAAATAAAAAAATTAAAAGTGAAATAAGGTAAAAAAAATACACCAGTAAAAAAATTACACCAGTAAAAAAAATTACCCCGGTAGAGAAAATATCAGGGTCTTCCTTAACCACCCCCTGTCTCTTCAGCATTGTGTAAGCCTCCTTAATTTTCGGCTCGTGACTCAAACTCTGGCTCCAGACGTAAAGTAGAATGATGCATTTGTTTTTTACCTTTAAGCTCATCTGATTTCCTAAGTACTGTGATTTTTTTTAAAATTGAAATCAGGAAAACTACAATGATTTTTAAGGTAAACATTAGATTTAAAATAAAAATCAGTTGTGAAATTAGGTGGATTTCACCAAAATATTGGCTTTAAAAGTGTGGATGAGAATTCTTAAATTAAAAAAAGATTAATTAATGAATTGTCACTAATTGTTTCATTTCTAACTTTTGGTGATATGACTTTGATGATCTCATTGATGAATCTGAACTTTCCAACCTCCTGCTGAAACCTTGTTCCACAGTTTTTCACACATGCCTCAAGTACCTTTGGGGAGATTTTTTTATTCAAAAGTTTAATTATGAAGTTTACTTTAAAATTAGTAGGCCAACTAACTTTTTAACACTTTGTTAATTTAATATTTATTGCTTGTGACAGGATGATGGCAGTGTTGATTACAAATTATAAATAAAATATTAAAATACTAATTAATGTTACATCCACATTATTAAAATTAAATTATACATTTACATGCTTCTCACCATATAAGAATGATTGATTGACAAAATCATTTCAGCTATCAATAACTAACATCATTAGAATTCAAAATGCAATTCAAATAAAAAAAGTTCCTAAATAGTAGAAAGTTAAAAATAATTATAATCTAAAAAAATTTCTAATTTATAAAATCAAAATGCTATAAATTGAAAAACCAGCTTACAGTCAGGGCAAATAGAGATTCTTTTTCCTGAGGAGATTGTATTTTATGTACGAGCAGACGAACTGCCATCTGGGGACCGTCGACATCTTTGTTGACCATGTCACAAAACCCAACTATGTGCTCCCAATTCTCTTCCAACATAAGTGGATTAGTGGCTTTGTCTATTTTATTTTTAGAGACAAAACAATTTTTTTTTATTAATCCAATAAAAAATTTAGCATCCTTCATCTACAAATTTATTTATTAAATTTTGAATTAAATTCGAATTCTTTATTTTTTTTTCTAGAACAGAGTTAGTCATTCCTAAAAAAGAAACTAAAATTAGTAAGAAGAGAAAAATTCGGGATCAAATATTTTAATAAATCAAACTACTTAATCTAGTCTCGAGACTGTCTTCAACGCCATCATCAACGTAAGCAGCCATTTTTAATTTAATTTAACTATTTTTATTTTTTTTAAATAATTGATGATAAAATGAACAAAACGACGACATAGAAAAGGTAGCGAACGCCTAGATATAATTGATTGAATCTTGTCGGTATTTATTATAGAAAGCCAAATTCTACCTCTAAATTAAGATGGATATATTTAATCAATTCGTTAACTAATTAACTAGTTGTATTATGTATTCATTTTTTTTACGTTAAATTAAATTATTTTAAACTCTAACTTTACGTGTAAAACAGCTTTAAGAGACAAAGTACCCACAAACATCATTGCGTAAATGTTCAAATTTGGCTGCATATAAAAGAAAAAGCATGGAGATTTAGATGTTATCTTTATTTTATTTCATATTTGTCAACCCCGAACATTCGTTCATTCATACTAATGTCCGAACCCGAAAAATATATATTGAGATTAGAAAATATCGAGAGCATCGTGCCTCGGATCACGACCTGGATGCAGATGCCAAAATTGTAGATTAAATTATTCAACAACTAACTAACTACTTTACGTGTATTTTATTAATTCGTGTAACATTTTCATCGTATCATTTTACTTGGACATTTTACCATTGGACATTTAACATTGGACATTGTCACAATTGCACCAAAATGGCTGTTGTGTTTTTAAAATGTTTCTGTGATTGTTTTATTTGTAGAGAAAGTTTTGACCAATTCATAGTTGGCTTGTCACTTTCCATCAAAAAACACCAGAATGTTGACAAAAAACAACAACCCACCTACACATAAAATAAATTAGAAAGATCTTGCTATTCGTTTAATTCATTTTGACCTTTGAAACGTGCAGTCAAGAATTTTTCGAAATTTTTTCATAAACTGATTAACAAAATTTTTTCATAAACTGATTAACTCTCATAGACTTAAATGGAAAAACATCTCAGACAATAAAACAACAAATGAGTTCAAATACTCTTTTTCTAAAGTATACACATGTGAAAATGAACGAAAGAATCAGTTAATAAGCATAGTGAATAACATTTGATTAAAATAAGTTCTCATAAATAGCAAAAATTTAAAACATAAATTTTTTATTAAGTTTCAAAAGGCCAAAAACATTTGATAAAATGATGTCCTTTCTTAGGAGCAAGTATTCTTGGACACCACCCAGGACAAACCGGGCGGGCAGTACATTGGGAAGCACTGGCCCCACGTACTGCATTGTACGAACATTCCTTTGTACTCGTGTGCAAAGTACAACTTGCCTTATTAACCATAGAATATATATTTCAAATTTAGTTTTGAAAAATTTGGAAAAAACAAAATTGATTGCCTACCTCTGCTGATGTTTTCAGCAGTGCAAGGATTTTTCTCTTTGCAGTTGTAGCCGCTGGGCGACTCTAAAATGATTTTCACTTATTAAATTTTAAAAAATCCTTAAAAACACAAAAATATAGTAATTTAAAATAAATAAATATAAAAATTAAACGAAATATTAAAAAATTAAACCCTTATATTCGCAACGAGCTCCAGTGTAGCCAGACTGGCAAGTACAAGATACCCGATACGCATCAACTCGTACACATGTACCACCGTTTAAACATACTCCGTTCAATAAGCACATATCTATTTGAAGAGAAAATTTACACAACGATTTCAATCATTTTTCATCTTTTTTTAACATAAATTTCTCAAATTTTTTAAAATAACATGTGATCGTTTGCTAACCCTGAATTTCACAATTTCTCCCACGGAATGGACCTGAACAATGACATTCGTAATCCGTGGAATTCGTTGGGAAACAACTGCCACCGTTGAAACAAGGATTTGGCTCGCAGACATCTTATCAATCAATTTAAGCAATCAATCAATCAGCCAATTAATCGCTATCTATTAACCAACCTATCAGTCATTATAAATCTCAATAACACCGTCAACAGTAGCGTTTGATATTTCGTTTCTTAATATTTTTCTAACATTTAAATCTAGTTTCGAAAAAGAAAAGATTCTGATTGATGATAATATTCAAACTTGTTTTTTCACAGTGTTTCCCGCTAAATGATCCGGAACATTCACATCGGAATCCGCCGGGGACCAAATTTTTGCACACCCCTCCGTTCAAACATGGATTGCTACCACAAAAATCTTTCGATGGAAAAAAAAGTTAATTATTTTCTCGAAACATTTACTAAATACAATAATACAGAACAAAACGACACCTAATCCAATACGGAGAGATTGAAAAATTTCTGGAAATCTTACTTTAAACAATAAAATGTTAGTTTATTATATGGATGGATGGATGGATGGATGGATGGATGAATGGATGGATGGATGGATGAATCCATTTAGTTTTATATATGTATTCATTATTTCATTTCATCCCACCTTGATATTCACAATGTTCTCCGAAGAATGAGTCCGGACATGAGCACGTGAAATTTTCTCCGTTGTCCTCCGAATGATTGCAAACACCACCGTTCAGACAGGGATTATTTATACAAACGTCTTCGAGTTTGATAAAAAAAAATTAATGTTATAATTTATTATTAATAATTTATGCGATTTCTTTTTAATTAATTTATTTATCCATCCATTTATTCATTCATCCATCCAATCATCCCATATGTATGTTGCCAAGGTGAAATACCATCAGATTGGAAAGATGCAATCACAGTGCCACTCTTCAAGGAAGGAGATCTTTGCGACCCTGGAATTAGCCTTACCAGTATTGCATGCAAGGTACTAGAAAGAATAATTGAGAAGATAGTTGTAGACCATTTGGTAAAAAAACGATGTCATATACAAGAGCCAACACGGATTCATGGATAAGCGTTCGCGCCTAACAAATTTGCTTGACTTTTTTTTGAAAAGATTTATGAAAATTTTGACAGAAAGAAAGCAGTGGATATTGTGTAATTAGATTTTGCTAAGGCTTTTGATAAGGTACTGCATAAACGTTTGGCCTTAAAATTAGAGGCACAGGAAAGACACTCAAGTGTATTTCTGACTGGTTACAAGGTAGACGGCAAAAAGTTGGTATTGGAGGAAGTTTCTCAAACTGGAGCAATGTTACAAGTGGGGATCCTGAAGGATCCGTATTAAGATCTAGGAATAAATAGAGGAGGAAAAGGGTCTAGGGGTGATAATTCATCGGAATGATAAGGTAGCGCGGTAATGCATCGAGGCAGATAAAAGTGCAAACGGGACTCTGGGTACGATAAAAAGACAGTAAAAAGCAGAGATATGATCGTCATATTAAACCTATATAAAGCAATTTATATTACCGATAGTTTGGCATTGGTTTCCACTAAATAGACTTGGACAATCACATCTATAACTCCCACTTCCGAAGGATTTGCAAATCCCACCATTCAAACACGGATTCATCCCACACGGATCTATGTATGTTTGAAATTATTTTATTTATTATGAATTTTGAAAAGTTATAAATTCATTTACAAAGACATCAATGACCAAAAAATAACATACGTAGGCATTTTAGGCATTTGACACACACACACACACACACACACACACACACACACACACACACACACACACACACACACACACACGGCGGTAAATACTTTAACCTACCAGCGTATTCGCAATTTTTGCCTACAAATGCTGTCGACATACAGTCGCACCTGTAGTCCGTTGCGTTCAACGGCAGACACACACCTCCATTCTTGCAAGGATTTTTCTCGCAAGAATCTTTTTTTTTAGAAGAATGATTTTGTAATAGCTTCCGAATAGTTATAATTAATAATGAAAATTTATTAACTCAATTTAAATTTAATTAAGACTAATTTGAATTCATTTAGATTTAATTAGGACTAATTTGAATTTGCTTAAATTTAATTAGGACTAATTTGAATTCATTTAAATTTAATTAGGATTATTTTGAATTCATTTAAATTTAATTGGGACTAATTTGAATTCATTTAAATTTAATTAGGACTAATTTTAATTCGTTTAAATTTAATTAGGACTAATTTTAATTCGTTTAAATTTAATTATGGTTAATTATAACTAAATATTTATATTTAGTTATATTTTCTATATTTTCTATAATTTGGTGTACCTACCCATTAGTTCGCAGTGCTTTCCGAGGAACACTGGCGGACATTCACAGCCGTTTCTAACGTGATTTAACGGCCTACAAAGCCCTGCATTTCAAAATAAACTCTACAATTTTTAAATAATTTACAAATAATAATAGTTATAATTATTAATATTATTATTGTTGTTATTTTTATTATTAATTTAGAAAATTTCTAGTATTTCTCAATAATATACATACAAAGAGCCAGGCCCTTTAACCATCGACTATTATTATTATTATTATTAATTATTATTATTATTATTAATTATTATTAATTATTATTATTAATTATTATTATTAATTATTATTATTATTATTATTAATTATTATTATTAATTATTATTATTAATTATTATTATTATTATTAATTATTAATATTATTATTTCGATTCAATGCCTACTACTATTCTTGCAGATTTCGCCAGCAAAACGCATGGGGCATTTGCACTGGTAGCCACCACTGAAGAAAGGTATGCAGAGACCTCCATTTAGGCAGGGGTCATCTCCACAAGGGTCTGGTGTTGAGATTGAAATTGATTGATTGATTGATTGGTTGGTTAGTTGGTTGGTTGGTTGGCTGGCTGGCTGGCTGGTTGGTTAGTTGGTTGGTTGATTGGTTGGTTGGTTGGCCGGTCGGTCGGTCGGATTTTTTACATATTTAAATCAAATAATTCCTATAATTTTTAAATAATTTCTATCACCCAATCAAGTCAACCTATATAGAAATTAATATTATTTGCTCAATCAATCAGTTAAGTGATCAATCAACCAACCTACCAAAAAATACCAACCAACCAAACAATCAGTCAGTCAGTCAGTCTGTCGGTTGGTTAATCAAAAAATATAATTAATAATTAAATAAACAAACAAACAAATAAATAAGTGAATGAATAAATAAATAAAAAATAATTTTCGCCATACCTCGTTGCTCGCATTGCTTTCCAATGTAAGAGTCCCTACAAACACATTCGAAATCGTCTCCACCCGGAAGAGGAATACACTGACCACCATGCAGACACGGAGAAACCTCGTCACAAATAGTTTTCACCAGTGTTGTGGGTTCGGGCATTGCGGTGGTTACTGTGGTAGGTATTGTTGTATCTATCTCATGAGTTGTACTAATACCATTGACGTCATCCCAAGCCCAAGATGGAAGTGTTTCAGTTGTTATTTCGTTCGATATGAAGGAGGCGAGGTTTAGGATGAGGCAAATTATGGTTGGGATTTGTTTGTGGGCATCTCGTTTGGACGTCATTTTCATTATTTTTTGTGAGAAGTCGAAAAACTGTTGCGTTACAAATTATACTGTGTGTTTCAAAATAGACGAACAGTTGATATAAGCAAATGCAAATAATATTAAACCTATATATAAATATAGGAGCAATTTTTGGATATGTGTAAGGACGTATGTATATATATATAATGATATAAAGTGATATACAACGACATAGGGTGTTATATAATGATATAGGATGATATATAATGATATTTTATTATGATATGATATAAGGATTTACGTTACAAAAGTCAAATGATTTTCGGTTAATTTAATTTAAATTTTTAAAATCAAATTTTTAAAGTTAAACTTTCAAGTAAGACTCGGCTCTGTGAAACTCTTCAAATTGACTTTAAGAAGTTCGTAAATTTTTGATTTTAATGGCATATTATAATAATATATAATAATCATTTTTATACGTACGAATAATAGTAATAATAATATGAATAAATAATGAATGAGTTGATGAAGAGATGGATGGGAGAAACGAACGAACGAACGAACGAACGAACGAACGAACGAATGAATGAATGAATGAACGAACGAACGAACGAACGAACGAACGAACGAATGAATGAATGAATGAATGAATGAATGGTTCTTCCTAATATATAATGTTTTAAAAAACTAATAAAGAACTTTTGAAGCCTTCGGGAATTAGGATCTTCCGATCATTTTGAAAATGTTTTAGTTAATGTAAATAATTATAGTAAAGTGTATTACTACCACCAACCCCATAGCGCAACTAGGAGGGGGTACATGAGGTAGAAGGGTTTATTTTCACCCCCCCTCTATGACGCAAAAGGGTGCAGTTTCATCCCCCAAGATAAAATTCCCAGTTGCGTTCGTCAGTATTAATATGAGTGGCTGGAATAAATTTTGAAAAAAAATTATTTAGAGATATTTGTTACGTTTAACCTTTGACCTTAACTGTTCAGAAGTTTTTTTTATTGTGGGGTAGGTTCCAGTAGCCCTAATGTCTCTTTAGGCGTCAGCTCTGAAAATCTCAAGCCAGGCAAACTTGTGACGTAATTTACGTTATGTTGTTTTCAAGTGCTGAAGAGTTAATCTTGGGAAACACAAGTTTATAATTAAAGAAGTAAACGCATGAATTAATTGAAGTGTGAATGAATGAACAGGCAAGTGATTGATTGAATGAATGAATGAACGAACGAACGAATGAATGAATTAATTAATTAATTAATGAAGGAATGAATGAATGAAAGGTATGGTCGACTGAATTAAGTATCGACTATACCCTACCCGTGTACATTACGATTTTATCGCAAAAATTTTCATTGAAACATTATCAAAGAAATATCCATAGAGGTCAGTTCTAAACTATGAAAATAACTCTTTCGTTAATTCGAGATCAATTGATTAAATCATGGAGGTTTATTTAGAAGCAGTGTCTATTGTTATTACAGATTTGGAATTAAAAAATTCCATAAGGTTAATGTTTAAATCAAGCTAAAATTCAAATTTCAATTCCTACGCTAGATAGTTTTATTTCAATTCTTTACTTCGGATCATTCATTTAAAACTTAAGTCTCATTTTACTTTCACAGCACTGATTTTTTTCGAACGTGTGACGTCATTTATATTGAAAGAAATAAGTAACGAATCAGCGATTTTGTTCTTTATTTAATCCTAATACGAATGATTTCTTTAATATTTTTCTATTGTAAATGTCAGTTACATGCGACATTCAATCAAGTTTAATGAAATGTTTTCTGTGCTAATGATCAAATGATGATGAAAGACCAAAAATTTCTAGAGTTTGAAAGAGAGAAAGAGAGAGAAATTGAAAGAGAGAGAGAGAGAGAGAAGAAAGAGAGTGAGTGAAAAAAGAGAAAATGAGGAGGGGGAAAGAAAAAAAAGAGAATAAAAAAAGTGAGCTTAATTGAAACGAAAAACGAAGTAAAAAAGAATTAGGATTGAAGAGTGATATTGCGAGAGAGCAAGAGACAGATAGAGAGAGAAAGAGAGAGTGACAGTGGAAGCATAGATTATTTTCTTCTAGATACTCCTCTCTTATTTATCATGCAAGTTGTTGGTCGGAGATCTGGGAATTAAGAAAATGGAAAATTTGATTAGAAACGTTTTCATTCATTCATTCATTTATTCATTCATTCACTCAATCATTCACTCAATCATTCATTCATTCTCTCAATCACTCATTCATTCTATACATATAAATATATACAGAAAAAACCTTGCAATGTATTATTCATCTAGGTGTATGTGTGCGTGTATGTATGTGTGTGTTTGTGTCGGTGCGTGCGCGTACGTATGTAATTACCAACTTTGATCAATTATATTGGGACTCTTGGATCTGCTATCCAATATCAACAGCCGATTGTGTGATATCTCAAACCTACTCTCATCCGCACTATCTCTGTAGAAAAAATAATTTTGGAAAAATTATTAATTTCACTAATTGATTTATTGATTTAAAATTAAATTATTTGATTGATTAATTAATGAAAAAAATTTTGAATTAGCGTTAACAAAATTTTGGACTTTCACGATCAAGGAGTTATAATAGAAACGCACTTATTACTATTAGCAGCAGTAGCGGCTTGATGTTCCAAACTAAGTTGTTCCCCCTTCGTAAAACTAATGGTATGGTACCTCGTTTTGCACTTTGTGTCGAATTCTTTGGCACACTTCTCGCGTTGTTGCATGCGTCCGTTGTAAACAAGTAGATCGTCGACCAGTAACTATCATGGCCGTGGTTTAGTTTGGGGTACAAATTAAGATTTTGGCGTTATTTCTCTCTCTCTCCCCCCCTCTCTTTCTTTTTCTCTCATTCAATATTTCTCTTTCTTTCTCTCTCACTTTTTTTCTTTCACTTATTTTTTATTCTCTCTCTCTCTCTCTCTCTCTTTCTTTCTCTTTCTCAAATTTACTGATATACTATTTTTAGATAAATTTTTAATTTTATTTCTTTTTAATTGAAAAGAAATTTGTTAAAATTTTCAGTTTTTACAGACGTTGAAATCTTTGACCCCTCTCGAGGGGGTCTTGCCATAGTTCCACATCTTTATCCTCAAAACTTTCATTGGCCGGTCGAACTTCACGTACAAGCGATTTATCTGAGAGCCAAATAATTATGTATTAATTATAATTAATTATTAATTGGTATAATGGTAAAAATTCCTGTGTGTGCGTGTGTGTGTGTATGTGTGTGTCGTTGATACCTCTGACACTAAAAATCCATAAAAAAAACAACATTATTTACAAACTCAACAAACAAACAAACAAACAACAAAAAACAAACACAATAGTATAACAATGGCCAAGTATTACAGTTACCAGGTTCGAATGTGAATTGAAGACAGGCACCTAACATACCGTCTGGGGCAGAATCGGGGCGAGCCATGAATGCTTGCCGTCTAGACTGTCGTTGAATCCGTCGACCAGCTTATCGACAGTGCGAATGTCGTTGAACACCCCCTCTAGACAGTTTATACTCGGAGGATAGGCCGCTAAATCTACGCGGTTTTAAAAAAAAATGTTCATAATTGTAGTGAGGATGATTCAATGATGATTTTAATGATAATAATGTTGCTAATTGCTATGGCGAATGTTGCTAGAATGAATATAATAGCTGGAATGTTGAATGTGCGTGCAATTTGCGAATGGTGGTGAGTCAAATTTATGCGTTCATGCGTACACTTACGATATTAATACCCTAAAATTAGGGAAAGAGGTTTAACTCTTAAAAGAATTATGCAAAGAAAGGTACAAACTTTTTAGATTTAAATTAATTTTTTCGCCATTTCTGTCGTAAAATTCTATTCCACTTAACCCAATGTAGTAATCATCGCCCCAAGTGTTCAGGAGCTGGAACTGGTAGATGACTGGATGGCAGAAAAATAATTAACTAATTCACTCACTCATTCTTCCAACCATCCATTCATCCATCCATTCATTCATCCATCCATTCCTTCATCAATCCATCCATTCATTCATTCGTTCATCCATTCATTCATTCATTCGTTTATTTACTTAGCTAGATGTTAACTTATTTAGGAATTTTATATTATATCAAAACAATTATATTCACTATTCATTTGTGGATGCGGACAAATATTCAAAAATCACAAACACGCGAGCGCACACACGCACGCACGCACGCACAGACACACACACAGACAAGCACACACATACACGTACATCCACAAGGAATTTGTGTTAGTTCATAATTGATATCTTCATCATTGCTCGTCATTGGCTGAGGACTGTTTTCAGATGAATGAATGAATGAATGAATGAAGGAAGGAATGTGTTGATGAATGAATAAATGAATGATTGAATGAGTGAGTGAGATAATGAATAAATGTATGGATTAATTAATGAACAGACATATGGATAAACTAATGAATGAATGGATAAATGAATGAGTAAATAAATGAATGGATGAGTGAACAATTAATCAATCCGCGATGTTCAACAGCGCTCCTCAATGAATTTTGCAAACAGATGGGTCTTGAGATCCGCTCTGAACTTCGTAAGTGATGGAGAAGTAGTCAGAGAAGTAGGTAGAGAGTTCCAGAGAAAAAAATCAGAAAAGCAAAAGCAGATTTGGCAAAAGAGTGTTTAACACGAGTTAAGAAGTGAGAACAAGAAAACGATCGTAAACAGGGGCGTTTAAGTTCAATTAATATATCCGATAAGTACTTAGGAAATAATTTAGATTGAGACTTATACATAAATGTGTGAATTTTAAAAATTATTCTATATTTTACAGGTAACCAGTGCCAGAGAACAAGATATGGAGATATATGAGAAAAGAAAGGGGCACGAGCAACTAGACGAGTAGCAGAGTTAAAAGCTTTACTTAAAGGATAGAGTATAGAGTCAGGAAGACCATAGTAGAGCGAGTTACAATAATCAATCCTAGATAAGACTAACGAAGTACCAAAAAGGAGAAGAGTGGGATTGTCAAGAAAAGGCAAAAGTTTTTTTATTCTCCGCAGATAAATATAAGAACTTTTAGCAATGCTATCAATCTGAGAAGAAAGAGACATGCTAGAATCAAAGATAAAGCCTAGACTACAAAACCTGTGAGAAACATCAAGAGTTTTAGAATCAGGCAAGATAATAGATGAAAAAGTAATAGAGCGTTTAGATTTATTAAAACTATCAAATAGATAAATGAATGAGTGGATGAATTAAATAAAAGAATAGATGATGGAATGCAGAAAGGATAGAATGGATGGATATATAATAATAATAATGATAGCTATCATCATCACCATCACCATCATCATCACCACCACCATCATCACCACCATCATCATTACTATTATTATAATAATTATATTTATAATTATCGTAATTATTATTACCGAATAGAGTAGAGTAGATTTTTGACATTGTCATGGTTTCTGTTGTAATTGTTGCTGCTTTTGTTGTTGTTGCAGCTACTTTTGTTGTTGTTGCAGCTGCTTTTGTTGTTGTTTTTATGGACACCCGATTTTGTATTATTTTTGAGAGATGATACTAAGACATCTCTTGAAGTATCTTTAATTAAGGGTTTTCTGCTACCTGGAGGTATTTTAATTTGCAATAGGTATAATTATTTTTGAATATTTAAAACGGATTAAATTGAAAAAAAATTTTTTCTAAATATCAATTCTTAAATTTTCAATTTTTATCCAATGTCTACCGGTATCTAATACTATCTATTACTATCTATTAATATCCGTTACTATATATCATTATCAAATATTATTATCATTAATATCTAGTAAGATATATTACTTATCTATTAGTATCTTAAATTATTAGTTATCATTAAACGTGTCTTACCTATTTTGGCACCATCTATCATATATAGATAGATAGATATCATTATCTATTAGTATCTTTTATTATTAACTATCATTAAATGTGTCTTACCTATTTTGGCATCATCTTCCTCTTCGCCATCCTCATCGTCGTCGTCGTCATCATTTAAAGATTTAAATACAACTTCCTGGGCAAAATCAAAATGGCAATTTCCAGGGGCTTTTCGGAGCAGAAATCCGCCGCCATTTTGCTTTTGGGGTAAGGGTACGCTTGCCCCATCTATACTTACGTACATACTTTTTGCCTGTTTTTTTGTTAAACAATAATTTTAATATATGATTATATATTAATAATATATTAATTAAATATGTAAAAATGATTAGTTTATCGTTATTAACTTTGAATAAAAATGATTATTATTAATGTTAATAATACTTTACAACCACAACTACAGCAACTACCACTGCTGCCACTACTGCTGCTGCTACTACCAACAATAACAATAATAATTATACAACTACCTATAAATAATAATTATGATAAAAATTATAGATGTAATAAAATAATTAAAACCAAAAATACCCCCACCCCTCGGAAAGAATCATCGTAGCTCTTATTGTAATTCCATACCCTGATTCCCGTGAGTTTGACCTTGAACTTGAGGTCAAGTTCAACTAAATGATCATTACCGTAATCAAAAGGTATCAACCACATATGTTTTTCGTCCGTCGTTAGGTTCACTCCGTCAATTAATCTGTCAATCATCATTCATTTGTTCATACATTCATCCATCCACTTCTATTCATTCATTCATTAATCGTTCTTCATTTATTCATTCATTCATTCATTCATTCATTCATTCATTCATTCATTCATTCATTCATCCATCCATCCATCCATCCATCCATTCATCCATCCATTCATTCATTCATACAAAATGTTTGCATAACATACAACTTAAAGGCAACATCAAAATGCAGCGGTACGATTATAAAATGTTACATCCCTAAAAATACCGACTTATCGACGGTCCTTGGATCTTCCTCGTTGCCGGGAATGGACCGGATATCGTTCGGACCGGCGGATATTCGCGCCACTTTTTGTAACGGTATGACGTCATTGTTTGTGGTCAAAAGTTCAATCCCTGTTAAATTTATTTAAATCTAGTAGTATCAGCAGCAGTGGCGGTAGTAGTAGCAGTAGTAGTAGTAAAAGTAGTAGTAGTAGTAGTAGTGGCAGCAGCAGTAGTAGTAGTGGCAGTAGTAACAACAAAACAAAAACAATGAAGAATGACCGGTGAGTCCGAGGTAATGAGGATCGCCCCACGTTGATTTGAAGTTCAAGGTCACTCCTGAGTTTACAATCAAGTTGTAATTTATAAATATTAATTAATTATAATATAAATTATAAATATAATAATAATAATAACAATAATGGGAACAACCTTTTATTCAGCAGTATAAACAATGAAAATGGCAGTGCAGATAAAATAAAATAATGAAATAAAATAAAATATCAAATGCAATATAATAATAATAATAATAATAATACGACATTTATATAGCGCTGTGTTTGAGCAGCTTGGAAGCACATTTATGCAAAGTGCAAAAACAACATGCTCTCAAGATGACCGTCTTACTGATAAATAATACTTCAGGTAAGATTTTTAGGCAAAATTTTTACGGCTGTAGTAATGAGTAGTAGTAGTAGTAGTAGTAGTAGTAGTTGTTGTTGTTGTTGTAATAATAATAATAATAATAATAATAGAAGTAGTAGTAGTTGTAGTAGAAGTAGTAGTAGTAGAATCAATAATAGTTGTTTATTAAAAAAATCTACATACTCGACCCGGATATATAATTGTCATTTTCGCATCCCATTTTATTATTACTATTCTTATTATTACCGGTGTTGTTATTATTATTATTATTAGTGTTGCTGTTGTTGTTGTTGCTGCTGCTGTATTTTTTCTTTTTCCCTGATGCCGTCGTAAACGGCCTTTCGACCTTGCGAAAGATAGAAATAAACCCAGGCTAATAATTATAATAATTTATACATTATGAATAATTCCCAACTAATTATAATAAATTATATTTAGCTGGTCTAATTTATAGCAAATCTCTGTTCAGTATGTCTCTAGAGGCGTTGACAACAACAAATGCACAACAACAGGTTGGTGTCTGCGTGCATTCAAACCCGGTAAGACAGTGATGAAAAAACGAAATTAATTATACAACAGCAAACAACCAAGCCACACCTCCCTATGTTCCTCATCAACGTCAGCCGTCGGTGGTCTCTTCCTAGCCGATCTCAAAACGTCGCGATCGAACTTCCCACAGCCACATCTGTGGCTAGCCACACAGCCTTCTTCCCCACCGCCATCCTCATTATCATTGCCACCATCATCATCGTCGTCGTCATCGTCTTCGTTTAACATCATTATCTCCTTTTCATAGGCCGAATCGTACTTTGAAACCAACTCCAATATCGTTTCGTCCGTTGTAAACAAGATGGTCTTTGTGATGATGATGATAATTATAACTTATTATAATAAATTATGATAATTATTATTATTATGAGGGTGTAACTAACGTCCCCAAAAGATTCCATGCCCCCGTCCACTCCACCACTAGCTCGGGCGATCTCACCCACAAATATTAATTTCTCATCCAGGTACATCGCTACATCCTTCGCGCCTCTCGACGAATGAACGCGCGACTTGTTGTAGTTCTATTTGGCGGGAAATTTTTTTGATGGTTATTCTTTAATTTTGGCGGGAAAATTTATGAAACTTCTCTTAAATTTTGGCGGGAATACCATTATATTATTGATGATCTTTAATTTTAAATTTAAAAAACAAGAATAAAAATCAACAAAGAAAGGAACTCCCACTAACCCAGACCCTAATAAGAGAAACGCAGGTACAGTCGCGAAACCGCACGTACACGAAATGATCTCTCCCCGGTGTGAACGGGGCCAGCCACATGTGTGTGTCATCTTGGGTTAGGTTGCAGCCGTCAATTAAGTTGGTCACTATTCTGGGGTCACTTGTGTAGCCCTCTAGTATGTTTATGTCGGCCGGGTCGGCTGATATCTTGGCGTGTGTTGATTGGTTAGTGGTGTGTGGTTTTTTTGAAGGATGGGACAGTTGAGTTGTTTTGCTGATAAGATGGAGTTGTTTTGTTGTTGTTGTTAGTGTTGTGTTTGGGTATTTGTTTGAGGTTTATTTTGATGTTTAGTTAACAAACGAACGATGAACAACAGTCGGGTTGGTAATGAAATATGTAATGATAGGTTGATTTTAAAGGTTTTTTTTTCCATAAGATTTTACCTGCTCGATTTCTGCGAGTTCTCCCGTGATTGTGAAAATCTCAATGCCTGAATGAATGAAGGAATGAATGAAGGAATGAGTAGAAGCATTCTATAAATAGAATATTCAATCAATATATTAATAGATTCGATTAATCTATAAATAGATCCCATCAATTAACCTATAAACTATAAATAAAACCGTCCTATAGAAACGATAAATATAGATATAAATAGAAACAATAGATATAAATAGACTAGCCAGTCAGGCCAACGTAATGGAGGTCGCCCCAGGTTGACCTTATGTTCAAGGTCAAGGATTTCCCGCAAGGGAGTGTGGGAATGATGAATGTGTAAGAGCCGTCGTTGAAATCGTCGTTGTCGTCGTCGTTAATGTTGTTGTTAGTGTTATTATTATTATTATTATTATTATTATTATTATTATTGATTATTTTTTTGTCATTTGTACCCTTTTCCTCTTTGTTATCATTTCTGTTAATGAATGAATAAATGAATGGATGGATGATTGAATGGATGGATGGATGGATGGATGGATGGATGGATGGATGGATGGATGGATGGATGGATGGATGGATGGATGGATGGATGGATGGATGGATGGATGGATGGATGGATGGATGGATGGATGGATGGACGGACAGACGAACGAACGGAACAAACGAACGAACGAACGAATGAATGGATATATGAATGAATGAACGAATGAATAAATAAATCAATGAATGAATGAGAGAATGAGAATGAATTAATGAATGAATTAGAAATTCATACAAATGGAAAAGAATTAAACCAAAGTTCACATTCACTCACATACTACCGGCTCCTCTACCCAAAGCATCATACTTATTGCTAATTTTCCAATTAAAGTTATCCGGATTTTTGATGTTATTATTACATTTGTTGATATTATTATTATTATTGTTTTTGTTGTTGTTGATGTTGTTGTTGATGTTGTTGTTGATGTTGTTGTTGATGTTGTTGTTGATGTTGTTGTTGATGTTGTTGTTGATGTTGTTGGCGTCATCAATTTCGTCGTCTTCGTAAATGTCTTGAATGGAATTGATCAACTTTTCCTTCTTCACGAGCATCAAATATTCAGTTAGGATGTCCTCTGTTTAAGAATTTTTATTTATTTTTTTTATTTGTTTATTTATTTATTAATTTATTTATTTGTTTATTTATTTGTTTATTTATTAATTTATTTATTTGTTTAATTTTTTTATTATTAATTAATTAATTTGTTTATTTATTTACGTATGTCTATTTTTGTGAAATTATTTTTATTTGTGAAATTTTTTAAATAGCAACGTCCTCATCAACAACGACATCAACAAAAAATCATCCACAACAACAACATCAACAATAACAACATCAACAGCAGTATCAACAACAACAGCAACCAACAACACCATCAACACCATCAACAACAACAACACCATCAAAATAACAGCAACATTAACAACACGACCAACAACAACATCAACAACAACATCAACAACAACAACGACATCAACAACAACAACGACATCAACAACAACAACGACATCAACAACAACAACAACATCAACACTACCAACAAACCGTCAGAATCTATAGACAGTCTCCCCTTGTGTGACCTATTGAACATACTCAGAGACCTCCAAGTATTTTCCAACTTTTCGTTGTCGCTAGTGGCCTCTTTGATGACGTCACCGCCACCGGCCGCCAACTTAGAATCCGCCACCTTGAAAATGTCGCCTTTGGTAGTAGTAGTAGTAGTGGTGGTGGTGGTGGTGGTGGCAAAGCAGTCGACGATTGTCGTTTTGTTATTAATTTTCCTGTTTGACTTATTGTCGTTATTGTTGTTGTTTTTATTATTAATTTTATTATTATTTCTGTTGTTCGATTGCAAATTTAATTTAGGAACACCAGATGATGACGACGACAAGGATGATGATGATGATGATGATGATGTAGTTGTCGATGATGATGTTGTTGTCGATGTTGGTGTTGATGTTGATGATGTTGTTGTGGTTGATAATGTTGTTGATGTTGCTGTTGCAAATTTTAATGTCGTAGATGGTATTGTTGGATCGTTATCATCGGCCAACCATGATGGTTTGTAACGATCATTATCATCACTACCAGCAACACCATCATCATCATCATCACCCTCATCACCATTATCATCATCATCGCCTTTACCATTTCCTCTATTAATGTTATCAAGACTCTCCATTAACTTAACGATATCATTGTCATCATCATTCCCATATTTATTGTTATTATTATTGTTATTATTGTTGTTATTATTATTGTTACTATTATTTCCCCTAAGACGATGATGATTGTAGTTGCGGTTGTACGATTGGTCGAAACCATCACCACAATGATCATCATCATCGTTATTATTATTATTATTTTTATTATTATTTTTATTATTATTATTATTATTATTATTATTAGTGGTGGTGGAAGTCGTTTGTAATTCCAGCCTCGATAGCTCTTCTATCAATTCTTTCTGGGTTCTTGAAAATGAATGAATGAATGAACGAACGAACGAACGAACGAACGAACGAATAAATGAATGAATGAACATATGAATGAATGAAAGAACAAACGAAAGAATAAATAAACTAGTCATTTACTTGCTATCAAGTTTCATTACATTTCTGACAATTTTTTCAACATTACAATTTTTATTATTATTATTCTTCTTATTACCATCATTCTTATTATTACTTTTGGTATTTATATAGCGCTGCGTTTTTGATGACATCATAATTCCGTCAAATTTTTTATTATTTTTTGCACCGATCATCTTGGCCGATTTTTTGCTAGTTATCTGTAGCGACGATTTATTATTATTATTATTTTTATTATTACTATGAGTGGTAGTGGTGGTAGTAGTATTTGTTGCAGCCGCCATAGTAATTGTAGTAGCAGCAGTAGCAGCTGAAGTAGTTGTATTTTTGATATTTTTTACTACTTTAGGAGTATTTCTGACAACTTTTGTAGCACTGTTATTACTTCTATTGCAGTTCTTTTTATTATTTACATTATCATTCTTATTACTTTTATTGTTATTATTGTTGTTGTTGTTATTATTATTATTAGTAGTAGTAGTAGCAGTAGTAGTAGTAGCAGCAGTAGTAGTTGTAGTAGTAGTAGTATTTTTGTATTGAGCAATCAAAACGGTGTTCTCTAGACTCTGTCTTATCAACTGAAGCGTAAGAATATTTTTGTAAAGTAATTTTTAAATAATTAATTTACTTTTTACGAGTTTATGATTTGTTATAATAATAATAATAATAATAAATAATAATAATAATAATGATAATGATAATCATCGTTGACATCATCATCTTCATTAAATGATATGAATAAATTAATAAATTAGTGAAGGAAGCTTACCGGTATATCGGCCACATTAAACGATAATTCTTTGCCATCATCATCGTCATCATCATCAGTATCATCTCCACAACTATCACCATCATCACTATTATTATTATTATCATCATCATCAATGTATTTGTCGTCGTCATCATCATCATTATCATCATTAGCTGAATGAATTCGACCGCCTTTTGATAAAACTGCCTGTGGAAAAATAATGTATTTTTTTATTCATCCAAATTTGGTTTTCCATGAGAGCGATGTGGTAGCCTAATGGTTAGAGCTCTTGTTTGGTTCAGTGCTGATGTAACCTAGTTCGAAAGCAAGGATATCCCTGCTTGTCTATTGTATGCCCAAAGTTAAAACGTTAATGGATGAATGAATGGAAAAACGAATGGATGAATGATTATTTAAAACGTTATAAACATACAAATCGTACAGACGTCTGTGTATGCTAAAAATATGTTATATGATTACAATGTAGCTGCAGTTTTAAAAATCTGGAGCTATATAAATTGGCAAAAATTAGTTGATTGGTTGACTGATCAAAAAAATGAAAAAAAATTACGTCATCACTGAGACTGCCATCATCATCCTCCTCCTCATCATCATCGTTGTTATCAGCTTTATTTTTTAACGACTTCTCGTTTACTGTTGGATCATCTTCGTCATCGTCATCATCTTCGTATATTATTATATCCTCTTTTATGACGTCATCATCGTCGTCGTCTTCATCATCATCGTGAAAATCGTCATCATATCTTCCGGATAAGAAGGCTTCGCGTGATTTTAATTAACGACAATTAATTAATTAATTCCTTTATTAATTCATGATCGAATGAATGAAATGAAGTAACGTGCAATAATTAAAAAATGATTATTATTATTATTAATATCATCCTCATCATCATCATCATCAGCAGCAGCAGAAGTAGCAGCAGCAGCATCAGCAGTAGTAGTAGTAGTAGTAGTAGTAGTAGTAGTAGTAGCAGCAGCAGTAATTTAATAGTAGTAGTAGTAGAAAAAATAGTAGCAGCAGCAGTAGTAGTTGAAGCAGTAGAAGCAGTAGCAAAGGCCGTAACAGAAATAGCAGTAATAGTAGTAGTAGTAGCAGTAGTATTAGTAGTAATAGCAGTAGTAGTAGTAGTGGTAGTAGTAGTAGCAATTGTAGCAGCAGCAGCAGCAGTAGCAGCAGTGGTAGTTAGCTCCCATTGTTTCCTTCTGGGGCCCGCATGAGCCGATTTAGCCCTAATCGGGCTTTTACTCTGATTTACTGCAGTAGCAGCAGTAGCAGCAGTGGTAGTAACCTGGTGGTCTATATTTAACTTTTTCTCCTTGATGCGTTTTTATTTCGATGGACATTAGCTCCCATTGTTTCCTTCTGGGGCCCGCCTGAGCCGATTTAGCCCTAATCGGGCTTTTACTCTGATTTACTGCAGTTAGGGATTAATAATTTGTAGTTAGTAATTAGTAATCTGCAGTGGTCAATAATTAGTTATTAGTGAACAAAATTTAGATGTTAATGTGACGTAATATAAAACCATTCTCTTTCTCTCTTCTCCTCTCTCTCTTTCTCTCTCCTCTCTCTCGCTCTCTTTCTCTTCTCTCTCTCTCTCTTTCTCTCTTTGTTTCTCTCTCCTTCACTATAATATAAATATAGGTGTCTGTGTGTGTGTGTGTGTGTGTGTGTGTGTGTGTGTGTGTGTGTGTGTGTGTGTACGTGTTTGTAAAACTATTTACAACAATGACCTTCGAGTTTTTTGCAAGATTTTGGTCGCCGCGTACTGCAAGCATAGTTATGATGATGATCGCTGTTGGGACGGCCAAAGTGATGATGATGATGATCCGGATTATAAGGATTAGGACGGCCAAGATTTAATTTGGCGTTAGCCCCATTTACGTATAAAATGAATCCTTGCTCCCTTCTGCTCAAAAAGTCAGCAAAATCTTCCGGAGAATTTTCCGGATTTTGAAGTGGTGCTGTTTGTTGTTGCTGTATCTTATTCATTTTTTTTCTTATAAAAATAAATATAAAATATGGTTAAATTCGTTAGAATCTAACTTCTCTAACATAACTAACCTAACAATTAGAATCTCGGTTAGAATGTTAAATCGATCATATATGTACATATAAGGCTCAAATTAAATTAATTTGAGTATTTTAACAATTATATATAATTATTTTTCAAATTTAAACTAGTTAATATAAGAAAATCACTAACTTAACTTTAGGAGATGAAAGTTGAAATATAGTTTACATTAGCAACGGACTTTTTTTAAATGCATCAGGTGTTTGCAGGTGCGTTGTGGCGCTTAATTTTTTGTGTGTTGGGTTTTGCATTATGTAGCTAAAATCATATATGTATATTGAAATCATATGGTTGGAATAAAATTGTTATTTACTTATTTATAATAATTAAAACAAAATCTAAATAACTGTTGTAGCTAAACTGTTTAGTTAAATTAAATAATGAAATGTGCCAAGTAGCTTCTTAACAGATAAAATGATATAATTGACTGAAAATATCTCAACTCTTCATATAATTTTTACCATATGCTCAAGATTTTCAATGGAAAAGTTGCATTTTATAAATGTTTAGTATAAAAACAATTAAATACTTGTAAATTAATTAACGAAATGATAGTTTAACACTTGATTCTAATTAATGTCATTTGCTTTTGGTGAATCATTGTCTTGAAATTTGTAGCTTGATACTTTGGCCTGCTAAAGTATAAACTAAAATTAGGCTGTCAAAAGACTGCATTTTAACGTTTGTATAAGAAGTATAACTACTAAACTGTTTTTATGTTGCACTAATATAAGGTTTATTCAAACTAGTTAGGAAAAAAACTCCTTTAAAAGAGTCACGTATATTCAACTATTAATAGCACATTTCTAAATGATCAGTCGATTCACTTTTCAATTTTGTTAAAAGTTGAACAAGAGCGAAGATAAATAGTAATCCACTAATCGCAGAGCAAAAAATCCGTAAAACCTGAATTTTGGAGAATTAATTTAATATTTTTTGGGTGAGTTTTGTGATTTTTTTAAAATTAGTATTTTGTAGGTGATTGTCGCTAATCTATCTGGGAAATCTAATTTAAAATATTTTCTCAAGTAATATTTTACTATTTTTACATTAAAATTTTAATATATAATTAAATCTATAAAGTATAAATGTTTATTAATTTAAATTTAATTAATAAATAAAAATTAATTTTTTCTAGAAAGCAAAGAAGACACTAAAAACATTAGAACGCTAGAAGATTCATCGATATGACGTCTTACAAAAGGGAAGTTACGACAGTACCCCTTGGCGAGAAGGTGGCCATCATGGGACAGTTTTATAGCGGAAAGACCTGCCTCAACCAGCGAATCATACGAGGTGTTGATTGGTGCGATCGGGCTTACGAAGCTGTAAGGATCTTTTTTAATTAAAATTAAATTTTTAATTTGAATGTATTTATTTATAACTATTAGTAGTTATAATTAATAATTGTAATTGAATTGGGTGAATCAGAATTTATACTTTGATTGTAATTATTTATGATTATTGAATTATTATTATTAATTATTTATTATAATTATGGAATTGGGTGACCTTATGGTGTGATGGCTAATGGGTCTGTATTTGCTGTTGTTTGAATGGGCATAAATATCCCTACCTAACACATGCAATATGTGTGTGTGTGATGTATGTGTGTGTGTGTGTTTGTATGTGATGTATGTGTGCATGTGTGATGTATGTGTAATGTATGTGTGTTTGTGAAATACGTGTGTGTGATGTATGAATATGTGTTTGTGTGATGTATTAATTTCTAATATTCTCAGACCATTGGGACAGCGTATGGCACTAAATTCATGGAGGTCGGAGACTTCAAGATCAAACTTGGAATTTGGGTTCGTGTGTTTTTATCTTTATTTATTTGAATAAATTTTGGATAAATTTGAATAAATTTTGGATAGATTTGAATAAATTTTGAATAAATTAATTATCCACTTTTAATCCACTCCATTTTTTTAAGGACACGGCCGGCTCTGAGCGATTTCTAGCAATCTCTCGAAACTACTACAGAAACAGCGGGGCCATCATCGTCTGCTACGACATCACTAGTCTAGAAAGTTACAATAAGGCGGTTGAGTGGTGGAAGAAGTTACTCGAAGAGGAGAAGGTCTTTATTTCTTTATTATTTATTCTTTTATTTGTATTTGTTTTAAATATTTTTTAAAATGATTTATGAAAAGATTTTTTTTTTAAATGGGAAATTTTTCTATGTAAAAATAAATGATGGGATGCAATTTTTTTACTGTCTCACAAACACACACATACATACACACTCACTACAGACACTCACACACACACACACACACACGAAAATCTCACAAACACACATACACACACACACACATATACACTCACACAACAGACACACACAAACACACACCAAAATCTCAAAAACACACACTAAGACACACCAAAATCTCTCTCTCGCACACATGCACACATACACACACCAAAATCTCACAAACACACACCAAAATTTCTCTCACACACACGCGCACGCACGCACACACTTTAGGACTCCTTACTGTATCTGTGTGGCAACAAGAAAGATTTGGTTCTCGGACCCGAGCTCAAGTACAACAGGAGAGTGGATTTCCACGACGCCAGGGAGTTCGCTGAAGGTGAATGAATGAATGAATGAATGAATGAATGATGGATGCATGGATAAGTGAGTGAATTGATGGATGAGTAAGTGAGTGAATGATTGGGTGGATGAATTAATGAATGATTGGTTGAATGGGTATATAAAAAATGAATGTATGAGAATGGATGGATGGATGGTTGGATGTACCAATAAATGAATGGTTGGGTAGATGAATGAAGGTATGGATTGATTGATTGATTGATTGATGGATGAATAAATGAATGAATATATGGATGAGTGGTTGATGATGATTTACTTATTTGTTATCATGGTTATTTAAACAAATGTTTAACGCACATACAACGTATGTATATAAATATATGTATGTGTGTAAGTATGAATGGATGTATGTATGTATGTATGTGTGTGTGTGCGCGCGCGCGTGTGTGTGTATGTATGCATGTATGTGAGTGTATGTATGTTTAAACTTTTACATAAAACAGACTCTGGTGGCAAGTTCTTTGAAACATCGAGCAAAACAGGGGAAGGTGTAGGTTAGTAAATGAAGTAGATGACTCATCCATTCTTTCATTCATTCATTCATTCATACATTCATTCATTCATTCATTCATTCATCCATTCATTCATTCATCCATTCATTCATTCGTTTATCCATTCGTTTATCCATTCATTCATCCATTTGTTTATCCATTCATTCAGTGGAACTCATGACCGAAATAGCGAAAGACTTAATAGAAAAGAAGAAGCGATTAGGAGAGAGTGAGTGCGATCATAATTTAATTCATAATTTAACTCATAATTTAATTCATAATTTAATTCATAATTTTATTTTTTTATTTATTTTAAAGTCGAACCAGACCGCTTGGTTTTGGAGCATGAGCGTATGAAGATGAAGAAAGCCAACTGTTCTAATTGCCTTAGATAGCGACATTTTAGTCATTCACTCTTTCACTCGTTTTATTTATACTATACATATATACGGTCATTTCTTTATTTGTTCTTTACTTCATTCATTCATTCGTTCGTTCATTCATTCATCGTTCGTTCATTCATTCGTTCATTCAATCTTCCATTCGTTCATTTGCATATTTGCTGATTTACGTATTGATTGATTGATTTAGTCATTTCTTTATTTATTTTTTATTCATTTACCAGTTCGTTTATTTATTGGTGTAACCATTCATTGTCTATAATTCATTCATTCATTCATTCATTCATTCATTCATTCATTCATTCATTCATTCATTCATTCATTTTTCAATTCATTTATATATATATTATTTATTCATATGCATAATCATATGTGCCTTATTAAGACTGTCAGAAATGCAATTATTGATGAAAATCACAGCATGTTCCGCCTTAGTTAGCTTCTTGTTTAGTTTTTCGCATCGTAAGTCATCTCGATAGCTTGGTCGTCGTCATGCCATTATACTCAGAACCATGGCGCCCACACTCACCAATATTACGTTTGAAAGAATACATTAGAGACAGAGGGATCATCGATAATGACTGCACTTAGAAGTGTCATATTGCTCAAAGTTGAAGACCTTTAAGTAATAATATGGATGATAATTCTATATGGATGATAATTCTAAATGGATGATATATGGATGATAATTTAAAATGGATGATATATGGATGATAATTCTATATGGATGTTAATTCTATATGGATGATAATTTTATATGGATGATAATTCTATATGGATGATAATTTTATTCTCAGTAAATTGAACCATTTCGAGAAAAATCTACTAAGGAAAATTGAAAAAGCAAACTTTAAATTGATTAATGCCAACAAATCGGTAGAATTCATACAATACTGTATAAAATATGGTCCCTCCTTCCAGCATATATATTTCCAACGCTAGAAGTTCGGTAGATTTCATAAATTACTGCATTAATTATGGTCTTTTACCGGCATATATATATATATATATAACTTCTATTCATGATTTTTTGCTATAATAAAATTCCTTCCTCTATTTATGTTCTTCTGTTTTGTTTAGCATCATTATCATGACCATCAACATATCATCATCGTCGCTCCAATCATCATCGTTGTCGTCGTCATGTTATTAGGATCTAATTTGCAAATTTTGAATAAAGTTGAGGTTGTTATGGATTTATTATTTTATGATTTGTAGATATTTTATAGCTGAGAGGCTTATTTATCTATCACCATATCATGTATGGAAACTTTTTATGTTTGTGGATCGTGCTAATCTTTTATTTTTGTTCATTATTGTATATATATATGTGTGTGTATGTGTGTGTTTGTGTGTGTGTGTGTGGTTTTATATATATATATATGTGTGTGTGTCTGTGTGTGTGTGTCGGTCTGTTCAAGTATGTCTGTTTATACCTAAAAGGCTTTTAATCCATTTTTTCATGGTAATTATAAATAACGTGATATGGGCTACATGTCGCGCGTATGATCTGACTTTTTTCAAGTCTTTTTTAAGAAGTTTTTTCATTTTTTCAAAATAAAATGCCTTTTTTTAATTTTTTTTATATTTCTTATTTTATATTTTTATATCTAATCCATCTTGAATCAATCAAAAGTATTCATGATTTGAGACGTCTTTACTGCTTGAACTTCCGATGAAAATTTATTTTTAACACTTTTAAAATAATTTTTAGCCTAAATTAAAAAAAGTTTATTATCCTCTTTGACTCTATGAAATAAATATATTAACTTATAAACTGTATTGTTTATACGATTTTATTCAATCATCATTATAAATGTGAGATGTCGATAGATCAGGCAGTTGAATGCTGGCTTTCGCGTTGTCTCAATTGCGCTGTGTCCTGGTTCAAATGCTGTCGTTTTTATGAAAATTTGTAAACGTACGTTGCAATCCACATTTTAAACTAACATAAGGTGAAATTATTTACCACTGTTATGGTATATTTAAATGAATTCTGGTTTACAAATTGAATTAATTAAATTTTAGTATGTTATTATTCAACTAATCCGTCAATCAATCAATCAAATTTATTTTTATTTATGTTATTTATAAAAGAAAGGCTCGAAAAACGAGAAAGACATGGAAATAATTCTGCCATTATGCCTTCTCTACGTGTTAAATTAACTCATTGTTAAGTAGAGATTCAAAAGATTTTTATGACTTTATTAGGCAAAAATAACATTAACATGAACTTTCAGTAAGCTGCAACTTTCACACCACAAAGTAGGAAGAAATGAAATAGCGATAGAAAAGTATTTTGCTTTGAAATGTGCACGTGCGATGCAAAACTCTACAACGATGCAATGCAATGGATAGTCAGACGAATACGAAAAATTACGTGTAGAGTAGGAAGGATCTAGCCACTATCCGGAATGGGATTCAATCGTCTTCTGCGGACAAGGAAGTGTCCGAGGAATGCAGAGACTTTGCGGTTGATGGGACGATACTCGCTCTCGATTTGTTTTTCGACTTCTTTTCAGATTCCACTTCTGCCATCTCCTCTCTTCTTCTATGATTCCTTTCCCATTTCTTCCTGACGACAATCACGACGATCCCAAAGATAACCAAGAAGGCAATCGACGCTTCTAATATGATGACGTACAGGTAGTACTTAGACTTAATTGCACCATTTCCATCCATTGCAGCTGTCGTATTGGAACTTCCTTTCTTTTTTTTACTAGTATAATTAGTGGAGTTACCAATTGAAGCAGTAGGGCCAATTGGTGTTAGTAAGTCGTCAGGGGAGACCGTGAATTCTATCGTTGATTCGCAAAAGTCATCAACGTATTTACACTCGTGATACACCAAAGAATACTGCTCAAGTTTGTCTCTGCACTTTTCTACTCCAGCCTCTTCGCTCACTACAACATAATTCCCACACGAACATTTGTAACCGGCCTTAACAACAGACAGCTTGTATGAGCTGGTTTTGCACGCGTTCTTGCAATCTTTGTACGACAAGCCAGATTGGGGATGCTCGTATTCAGCTTTCGCTATCTCATAACATCCGTAAAAAGGCTCAGTGACATTTTTTGTATCAGTCCAATTGACGCATTTGATAATCTTCGCATCTTTCATTCTTACTTCTGTGCACTTTTGATTGGAACAGCGGCCGTTCATGATGTCGCAACCGACCTCAAAGACTTCCAGCTCGGCAACTGCAATTTGAGATTTTGTCAATAATTTCTCGGATTGATGGATGATAACAAATTTGGAAAGTACTGTAAAATTTTGACAGATAACGATCATGGGGTTTCCAGCTTGAAGGGGTTTTTTAGGTCCTCGTCCGCAAAAATTCGCCATGATACTTGATTGCGTTTTAGATATCAAGTTGATGGTTCTGTTTAATCTGATGACAAACTCGTTCATATGATTGCAGTGCTTTTCCGTTAAGCAAATCTTTCCGTAAACTCTCACAAAACCAACGCAGTACAATTTCTGGAGCTCGACAGCTAACCAGGCATCGGCTTGAGCAAAATTGTAACCATCGCACATGCCGTCATTTAAATATTTTGTCGAGGATTGATCATTTGTTGAACTACCATGCACCGATTGATGCAGAGCCAAGTTGATCCTGAAGACTTCGCACAAATTCCATTTGTTTCTAACCAGTCCATGCAGACACTCACATTCAACGTACTGCTGACCGTTGACGGACAGCTCCACGCACTTCATCTTGTCCCCACAATCTCCATTGTTTATCAAACAGCTTCTTTCTCTGCATGAGTCCCCCGTCCAACCCGGGTCACAACCCTTGGGACATTTTTGTATTTTGCTCTCTTCATGACCGCAGTGCGAATATGTCGAGAGACCTCGTTGAAAATCGTAGATGAAACGTGACGTGTACGTGATTATGCAGTCTTTGAGACTTATATCGCAACAGTTGGTATCATTTGAATCTTGCAGACATTCATCACATTTCAACACGGTTCGAATTGGGGGAAAGGGTTTATAATCGCTAAAGCAGTAACATTGTAGAATGTAGAAATTGAAAAATGTCTGATTCTTCTCCAAGCAGAAGAAAGCACATTCCTCTACGCTACTTAGGTCGGAAATCCTGTTTGAGTTCCCCAAACGAGAAGGTTCTTGCTTAGAGCAAAACGAGTCACCCTGCATCTCTGTCGTGTTTTTTCTATTTCTATAAACGGAATAGAAATCATCCCCTCCACAACTCTCTTTACTACTGCAGTGAGCATTGCAGAGGTATGAGCTGGTGGCTGCGTCCATTTTATTGACACAAGAACATTCCTTACCCCTTGCTAGGGCAACCATGTCATTTTTCTCTCCATAGCACTTTGTGAGGCATTCGTCAATGCTTTCAATCGGCCCTATGTATATAGACGGGTCTATATACCGGTAGCACCCTATGTAGTTCCTCGCTAGGTCAACCGCATCCAGTTTTAATTCAATTCTCCAGAAGTGAATGACGTATGCGATGATAATCCGGGTTCGGTACTGAACTTTTGTCATTTTTTTGCCGTTGAAATTAACTTAAAATACTGTGAGATTGTAATTGTAATGTTTAATAAGTTTACGTTATCATAATGGATAGCTTTTTTTATTTCTAAAATATTTAAAAGAATATAGTAAATAAAAACAAACGTTACAGAGGGGATGATCTGTAAACAAGAGAAATTTAAGAAAGTTGTGGGGAGGTTAAACTTCTTTTTTTATTGACGAATAAATTATAATAAATTATTTCCCTTAACTTCACTGAGGTGTGTTTGAGCTTCGTGTGTCGTGTATGTAAGACTGTCGTGTGGTCTGGAAGTTGTGGCAGAATGGACTTTTACGAGTGTACTTCATTAGAAGTTTTATTTTTATTTATATTCATATACAAATTTTATTATTTTTTATTTCTTTTACTATTTACTCCATGATTTATTCTTATTATTTTTATATTATTATTATTTTATTTGCTTTTATATATTTTTAATCTTTGGAACCTGGAAATGACGTCAACATAAAAATAAATATTTTTTATTAGACTACTGTTTCATACGTTTTTGTTTGCCGCTTTCTCGATATTTGGTTTTTAAAAAACTAACAATAACAATAACAATAGAATAATATTATATAGTAATAAGTAATATTAATTATATTATAATTACAAATTGATAAAATTTAATTATAATCAAAATTAACTTATCTCCAAAAGTCCAAATGAATCATCCGATCAAAAACACCTGTCTGATAAATTGTGCTAAATGCTCGCCTCAGTTAGTTTGATTACTACTACAACAACAACTACTACTACAGCTACTGCTGCTGCTGCTGCTGCTGCTGCTGCTACTGTTGTTGCTGCTACCTTTACTACTATAATTATAGTTACTATTTTTGCATTTACTGCTTCCACTACTGCTACCACTTAAGATGACTGCTATTATTTCTGCTTCTGCTACTACTACTACCACTACTACAACAACTACTACTACTACCACTACCACCACTACTACTACAACTACAACTAATACTTTTATTATTATTATTATTACTACAATTTTAAAATCTTACAGAAGTAACAGGAAGTTGGAAAACTATAGAAGGTCAGGACAAACAACTTATACAACTGTACGTTGGAGATTTCGTATATTTTTTATTATTATTTCTTTGTATTCGGTATTGTATATTTTGTGTTTTGTTGTGTATTTCACTTTCCACTTGAAGTGCGTTTTTGTATCTTTTTGAGTTTCATCTAATTTTTCTTGGTTTTTCTTAAGTTTGAATTTTTTCTATATACTTTTTCCCATACAACCGAACATACAACCGATCAGCCAACAAATACACACACACATACAGACGTACACACACGAACATACATACACAAAAACACACACGCACAGGTACACACACACGCACAGTAACACGCACACACAAACACAAATACACACACGAACACACATACACATAAACACGGAAACATACATACGCACACACACACACACACATTCACAAACACACACAGTCATACATAGGCTATCCAAGAAGTATATACGTTTATAGGACACCAAGCAATAAACCCGTAACCAAACTGCCCTACCCTTGGATGACTAAATACGAGAGGACGCCTGAATCTCTCAAAGCCCATGACTTCAAAAATTTCAAAGTTAATTTTTACTGATAACCAATTAAAATTGCTACATTACTACAGCTGTTTTTATTGCTGCTACAACAACAACAACAACAACAACTACTACTACTACTACTACTACTACTACTACCTCTACTACTACTACTACTACTACTACTACTACTACTACTACTACTACTACTACTACTACTACTACTGTTTTTCTTAATCAGAGTTATTTATATCGAAGTATCGCTATGGCCGATTTTGTATCGACGATACAATTTCAGTATCGGCTTTGGTATCGTATCGTATCGTATCGAGCTTGATATTGCCGATATTTTTTAGACGGTAAAAAAATCGATACTGTATTCGATACTGATCGATACCGTTACCATTCAGTGTCAGGTTAATAAATTTTTATTTATGACCATTTCAATTTTCAATGCTAATCGCGTTAAATTAAAGTTAAAATGGAGATTTAAAAAAGGTTAAAGGTCAATTAAGATTATATCCTGCTGTCATATTTTGCGTGTTCGCTAATTAAGCTGAACGACTTGATCATGAACCCGGAGTATGAATCGAGGTTGAGGGCCATGAGAGTTCACCAACCAATTGAGAATATCACCACTAACCGACTGGCTTTTGGAAATGTTTGTTTATAGTTTTAAATTTTAAAAAAAATTATATCACGAGTAAATTATTATTATTATTCGAATTACATTTAACAATATAATATGACGCTACGTTACAAGCCATGCACACCACACACACGCGCACACAACAGTACAACACAAGATACAGAAATATAGATGAGGACCTGGTGAGAATGAGAAAAGAATACGACGTTCTTCTCGCCAAAAACAAACTTTCCTATCCCAAACATCCGCCAAGACCGTTCGATTACTCGAAACTCTGTGAGAAAGTATCAAAAAAACCGTTTCTCGTACCGAGACGAATCGGGGTAATTGATTGAATATTTACTATCTTGTAATTCACACATCCTTGTTATTAGAGATGTTTTAATTTAAAGTAATTTCTTTATAATTTTTATATGGATAAAAATGTATCCTAATTTTTGATTAAATTACTCATTTTAATTATTCAAAACAGGAATGCAAATACGATTGAAGACAGTAATGCCTGTTATTAGAAAGTATTATTTGAAAGTATATTAAATTAAAATGATATTGAAGATATACAGATATCTGTATTTGATATGTTATATATTTAAATGGAAAGAACGAGAGAGAGAGAGAGAGAGAGAGAGAGAGAGAGAAAGAGAGTCTATTTATTGTTGATAAATATGCTATAAATTCTTTAAAATCAATTAGATATCTTATGACACCAATTATATGTGATATCATTGTTATTTTAATTTGATTTTGGTGTTATTATGAAAATGTTAGTTTCGGTGAGTTATTAGTTATGTTATATATATGACGGTTTAAGAATTAATTGATTTGTGTTTTCTTTATACGAAGAAATGTAGATTATATATATCTGTAACATTGTAAATGGTTCTTCGTATGTCAGAGCTGCTATAATAAAGACTAATAATAATAAAAAAAACATTAAAATTATATAAAAATAGTTTAAATTTTTACAAGTGTACGAACGAACGAACTAACGAACGAAAGAATAAATAAACGAATGAATGAATGAGTGATTAGATGACATAGTTCTTGAATAAATAAAAATTCAAATGATTTCTTTCTCAAATATTAAAAGCAAGAAGCATCCAGTGTTAATTTTCGATAGAAATAAATCCAATTTGTATCATTGGCATCATGATATTGTATCATGATTATGTATAATAATGATAAAGTATCATGATGATGGTACTTGTAGAACTTGTAAAAACATATAAAAAAAACAATACCATCCGTGTAGATAGATTGTAGAAAAGTCAATTTTTATATAAGATACCAACCAATCAATATATTGTTTGATTGATTGAAAAATTGATTAATTGACTGACAGATTGATTGAGTGGTTAATTAATTGATTAAGTGATGTAAATGACCGATTGAAAATTTTATTGATAGATTATCTAATTATAATGATAATTACAACACACAATAAAATAACAGGTACACACACACATATAAACTTACATATATACACACATACACATAGATAAAAACATAGTCTAAACTTAAATATCTTTATTAATTTATGCCATCGTATATAGTATTTTTTAGTTTGTATTTATTAGGCGCGTAATATTAGATTGTTAAAGTTGTAAAATTAACAACACATCTCTTTACGATCAACTGTGTAAAAGTTAATTACTTATTAGATGTTTATAAATAGAAGAGAGGGATTTTTAAATTAAAATCGTATCAAAATTTCATAAAATATTAAATTTTCAGCTATTATTAAAAAAAATTAACAAAATGGAAGACGTTGAAAATGTTTGGTTAAAGCCGATCGACGTGATGAAAAGAAGGCGTTTGAAATTATTATCCCAAAGATCCAATCCAGATTTCGACCCGATATCCATAATTTCAAATTTCAACTCATCAACGAACGCCATTTTATCTAACTCCACTAATCTGAAAAAAAATTTGAAAAGGAAAAATCCATTTTCGTGCGGTAAAAATGAAGAAAGTGACAACGAAGATGACAAAATGATTAAAAAGAAGATATTAAAAAATGATGTCAATAATAAAGATGACATATGTGATATAATTTCGAGTTATCATAAAAATGACGATGACGAGTGTGAAGATGGTGAGAGAAATTTTCAGGAAAAATCTAAAAAAGTCTTCTTGAGTATTGAAAATTTTGGAAATTCTGCCAGTTTACAGGTAATTCTCACTAACTAAAATCTAAAATTCTAAATTTAATTAACTATTTAATTAATTATATTCTTAATGAATTATATTTTTGTTCTAATTAATTAATTAGTTAATCATAATTGTTTTATTATTTACCAGAATCCTGATGAAACTTCGGTGAAAATTTATGAAGAAAATGTCTCAAAAGTGGTGAAGAAGCCTGAGATAAAGGTTTGCCTAGACTATTAATGTTGATTTTAGTTATAAATAAATTTAATTAAATATTATATAACACAAAATAATAATTATATATGTGTAAATATTTTAGATTATTAATAGCTATAAAATCAAATTTATAAAATGAAAAATAAATATATACTATATATATATATATATATAACTTTATTACTTCCATATTAATTAAATTTGTTGCTGAAATAACAAAGATAATATAATTTTTTCAAATCCCAGAATAGAAATTCTAGCCACAAACTTCCAATGGATAGAATTCTGAAAAGTAAGCTTAGATTCTTGATCCCGTCAGAGCACGTGAATAAAATATGGCCGATAATCGGGACTGACGAATCTCTGGGCGTGTCTAACTTCCTAACTGATAATATGGTTTGTTGGTGATTAGTAATTATTTTTTGTAATAATAATAATTGCATTTATAATATTAATAACAATAATATAGGCGGTGATAATGATAATAGTAACTGCAATGATGAATTTTTTACTATGATGATGATGATGATGATGATAATGATGATGCTAGTGGTGATGATGATGATATAATATATTATAATATTTGTAATTATATTATAAGAATTTTATGATAAGAATAATAATTAAAATTATTTTTCTACAAGGGATTGAATAAAAACGTAAAACAAAGTTTACAATGTTCATCAATGTTTTATCAGTTCCCATCCATACCCTGGCTACAGCTCTTTCCAAGGATGAATATTAGACAGAAGTATGTTGTTGTTGATGTTGATGTTATTGTTGCTGAAATTGTTGCTGTTGTTGTTGCTGGTTATTTTGTTGTTGCTGATGTTGTGCTGTTGTTGTAATTGTTACACACACTGAATATGAATAATTAGTAATATTATTGATAAATCATAGCAAATTATTATAATAATTAATGTTAATTAGGATACCAAATGATATGCCACTTCCTAAAACAGCTGAGAAAATGATCTTCTCTAATTGGTTAGTTTTTTGTTTGCTTGTTAAATTTTTTCCCCTGGATGTATGTGTGTGCGTGTGTGTGTGTATGCGCGTGAATGTGGATGTAATTAATTATTAATAATTATATTAATTAAATAATTATTTGCCATTTTTTTCTACAAGGTGTGAGAGTATGACCTCATCATTCCAAAACATCAAGCAAGATATCTGCCCATACATGTACATCTGCTGCCACCATATGACCATCCTATTTACAAAACAACCACAGCTGCAACAACCGCAGCAACTGCAGCAGCCGCAACTGCCACTGCCGCAACTGTCACAGCCACAACTACAGCAGCCACAACTACTTATTCAGCAGCCAGAGCTGCTGCAACAACATCAGCAGCGAGAACTAATTGTTGTAATAACGCCCACAACCAGAGGTTTCAGGAAATCTTTGGATGATGAAAGTAACACAATATTTCATTCAGTTTCATTTATTTATTATATAAATTTTTCTTCTTCTTATTATTATTATTAATTATGTTTATTATTATCGTTCTTCATATTTTTATTAGTTTCAATTAATTTATATTTAATGAATAAAACTTATTTGATTTGCAGGTATAGAGTATTCTATACCATTTCTGAACAAAAATAGGTCAGTTGGTTTGTTTTCATCATCATTATACCTGGTTATTATTATATTATTATTATTATTATTATTGTTGCTGTTGTCTGCAGTAGTTGTAGTAAATGTAGTAGCAGCAGCAGCAGTAATAGTAGTAGTAGTGGTAGTAGTAGTAGTAGTAGTAGTAGTATTATAGACATCTAGTATAATTTTTCAATTAACAAATGTTAAATCTGTTGTAGCAGTAGTAATAATAGTATTACCATTACTACTAATTTTACTATTAGTTGTAGTAATGGTACTACTACTATGAGTAGTAGTAGTAGTAGTAGTAGTAGCAGCCGCAGCAGCAGCAGCGGTAGTAATAGTTGTAGTTGCTTCGTTGCTTCATCTATTCACATATTTTGCCTTCAATTTTATTTAATGCTTCTTCACAGAATTCACTGCATAATTAAATTTTATAACATACAAAAATTTTTTTTCGTCGGCAGAAGGAAGTCAGCTGATGGTGACGACAACAACCACAAAAATAGTAATAATAATAAAAAATCTAACAAAAACAACAACAACAACAACAACGCTACTATTGTGGCTACCAATGCAAATAATAATAACAGCAGTGGTAGTAACAATATCAATGATGATGATGGCGATGATGATGATGATCTGGAGACAACAATTAAGTCGTCGTCGTCGTCGTCATCATCATTGTTATCATCATTCAAAAGCGCCAAAGGTGATGATGATGATGAGGAGGAGGAGGACGACGACGACGATGATGACGACGACGGTGAGGAATGGTTGGAAAATTTGGGACTGTCGAAAGGGAAATACCAAATAGTTGAAGACGGCAGGAGTTGTTTAAAGTAATCTACAATTTTTTTACATTTAATTAAATAATATATAATTTTTTCTTACTCTTTCTCTCTCTCTCTCCCTCTCCCTCTCTCTCTCTTTTCCTCTCTTCTTCTCTCTTTCTATCTATCTATCTCTTTCTTCTTTTAACTTGTTTCCTAATCTCTGCTACCCCTTTCTTTCTTTTTTGAAATAAAAATTTTCTTTGATGAAATTTGGTGTCAATTAAATATATTTTGTTCTTTCTTCAGCATTTCTTCAAAGAACCCAGAGGAGAACTACAGAAGGATTGATTACAGACCCGCATCTACGGTCCTCATAGATGGCAGTAGTGACTGCGTCGCCTTTTTCAATTTCCTTCTCAACTCGCCCAACATCATTTCATCGGTTGGACACCTGGCCACCATTCCCCCAACCATTTTGGCGCCTTCTGCTTTTAAGGGTGCCTCTTTGCAGAGTCTTAAGGTGCCTTTTTCATTTTTTTAAATTAATTTTTTTTGTATGTTTTTTGGTTACGATTGCTTTTACATCTCTTCTTCAAACTTAGTTATCAGTCTAATTGTTTATGTGTGTTTTCCTTTTTTTTATCTCTCTCTCTCTCTCTCTCTCTCTCTCTCTCTCTCTCTTTCTCTCTCTATCTATCTATCTTTCTTTCTATCTATCTATCTATCTTTTTATCTATCTATCTATCTATCTATCTATCTATCTATCTATCTATCTATCTATCTATCTATCTATCTATCTATCTATCTCTGTCTGTCTCTATCTTCTTTTTTTATTTGTTTTCAACGTCAATAATGTAACAACGACAATTATATTAACATTCAATAATTGTACCCCTGACGCAGATTCTAAATAAAGGAGAGATATACAACAAGACGTCATCATCGTCATCGTCATCATCTTGCTCGTCATCATCATCGTCACAACCATCATCATCATCGGAGCCCAGCAAACATCAAAAGAGATCTATCTTAGAAATTTTGGGGCCAATATTGCCTAATAATTTTGAAAATATTTTAAGCACCCTTGCTTCTGCTTGCGACGAATATAGCTGCTCTGTTACTAATTTAGACGAAACTACCTCATTCAATTGTCTCAACTACGGTGGTTCTCAAAAGGTGCCAGAAGAAAGTGACTCGAAATTAGTTAAATGTTATGGTGTTGGTGATAAAAATAGAGAAGATGCTGGCTTAGTTTTACACTCTACTGCTATTAAGAGTGTTGAATATAAGGATAATCTCTATACATGGGATCTATCTGTTTAACATTTTTATGTAATTTTTTACGCTCGTTCGTTTGTTTGTGTGTATATTTAATGCATGTATGTATATATGCATGTGTGTGTGTATGCATGTATGTATGCATGTATGTATGTATGCATGCATGTATGTATGTATGTGGGTCTGTATAGTTTATGTTATTTTTAATTTGTATTTAGATAATTGTTTGCCATAACTGTTGCATTATTGGGTGACTGGTTATGTTTGTTTCTTTTTTTTCTTCTTGTATATTTCAATTTCATGTATTTCCTTGCAATGTGATGAAATTTGGACCGTTTAAAGTGACAAATTTTTGTTTGTGTCCGGTTTGCCCTGTACAAACATTGAAAACAACTTTATTTTTATCATCTAATTGGCAATATTTCTCAATTTTTCTTCATTTTTCTAGACTTAAACTATTCCTTTGTAAATATTGATTAAGATGTGCTTTATAATTAACGAATTTGAGTTCACTGTGTGTGTTATTACTATAACATAGGACACTGTTTTTTTGAATATTTTACTGGTTACCTAAACAAAGGTGCAACAGATAAAAGAATACTTGTATCAACGTATGATTTAAGCAACCAATTTCTACGAGACTAGAATGTAAAATATTCATTAAATAAAATCAATCAATCAATCAATCTTCGTTTTGCGTCCAGAGACCCGGTTTCCCGAGGTAGGACGTTCATTAAATAAAATCAAATGATAATATCGATCTATTTAAGCCGTTTATTTTGTAAGCAAACTAAAGTGTTACATGATTGAATAGAGTAAAAAATAGTGGCCATAGTACTATAGTTCAAACCTAGTAAGCCAACCCACGACTTTCGTAAGCCAACGTATTTCACCGGACAAAAAGCACTTTTTATAATCAAATTAGCAAAAATTATTTATTAATACATAATTTTATTGAATAAAATTAAATAGAATTATTACTACATTTTTTTTTATAAGTATTAAGTCAAGTAGATATTTCATATAGCTTGCTCGTTAAAACCCATGCGATTTTGTAAGTAAGCCAATAAGCCAGCTATTCAAGAAAGCCAAATAGCCCGATCCTTGTCTTTCTAATAAAAACAAATTTTATGTAAAAACTTATATTATCGTCGACTGTCATTTTTTAAAATTAATTTTAACAAAAAATTTGAATACAAAAAAAATGGAGAATATTGAACAAAATTCCGAAGATGCTGATTTACACGAGTCGCTCTATCAAAATAATAGTTTCGGTTTGACTGGTTCGTTTATTAAATTTTATTTATTTTTTTATTTTATATATAATATAATTATATTAAAATTATATTTATGATTTATCTTTATTTTTATTTATTTTTTAATTTTCTGTATTTTATAATTAATATTAATAATGGCAATAATTATTTATTATTGACAAGTAAAACAAAAAATAAATTTAAATTTTAAAATAAAAAAAATGTAAAGGCCGCTCGTCAGAGACTGAACTTCAGGATGAGGATGGCGATCAGGGGGATGGAGAACCTCTGAGAGAACAAGAATGTTTCTTTCTTTTTCAATTGAGTCTTTTTGCTTTCAAACTTTTTTTTTTAATCCTAATTTTACTTTTTTTTTTTAATTTTCATCTTTTACTTTATTTCTAGTCTTTATAGTTTATTTAAATAATTTTTTCAAATTTTTAAAAATTTTTGTTGATTTTTGTTATGCTTTAAATAATAATTAGTATATAATATAATATAGATTAAAGTGAATCAACTCATTACACTCCCATAATATTGAATGTGATAGCCAGGGATTTCTTCGCGTTTGAATCTGGTCCCTGCAACAGCAATGCCTGGCACCTTAATCATTACATTACACCATCAGCCAAAAATTATATTGTGTAAGTATATGTGTTTGCATTGTTTCGTCTATCAAATTCATTCAAATAGGATCGTTTCCTTCCTACGGCCAATGTTGCTAGAATTATGAAGAAGGCTATTCCTAAGTCTGGCAAGGTTGTATATTTATTATGTTCATTATTATTTATTATTAGATATAATATTATCATTATTTGTTTCTTTATTTTTTTTATTATTAATTCTGATTATAATATATTTTATAAATTTTGAATCTAGATAGCTAAAGAAGCAAAGGACTGCGTTCAGGAGTGTGTCTCCGAGTTTGTCAGTTTCATCACCAGCGAGTTCGTGTTGTGTGAATTTTTTTGTACACAAGTTTCAGCTATGTTCAATTTTTATTTAGTTAAATTAATTTTTCATTATCTTATCTTACAAATTATTTTTTGTTTTTTGTTTTTCTTTTAGAGCTAGTGAGCGGTGCCAGCAAGAAAAACGCAAAACGATAAACGGGGAGGACATTTTATTCGCCATGACGGTTCTTGGCTTTGATAATTACGTTGAGCCACTTAAGGTTTACCTGCAAAAATATCGAGAGGTTCTTACTTAATTTTTTCTCCTAAATTAGTTATTTTACCATAGTCTTAGTTAGTATCTTGTTAATTAAATTTTATTCACACATTCTAAATTTTAGAGTACCAAAACGGAGAAGACTTATGCTGATGACAAAGTTGTTGAGCTCAACCAAGACGACTCTTATGGTTAATAATTAAATAAATTAATTAGTTGTTGTTATTTTTATTAATTAATTTATTATTATTAATAATAATAATAATAATTAAATTAATTAGTTAATAAATTAATCAATTAAATGTTTAAATTTCTTTAGTTACACTCAGAAACAGTCTTGTTGTTTCAACGGATCAGGACATTATTTACACAGCTTTTCAATAATCATAATAATAATATTTTTTTTGCAATTATATTTGAAAATTCAATAATTTCTCTTTATACATGCGTGTTGTGTGTGTGTGTGTGTGTGAGAAAGAGAGAGAGAGAGAGAGAGAGAGAGAGAGAGAGAGAGAGAGAGAGAGAGAGAGAGAGAGAGAGAGAGAGAGAGAGAAATTATGACGAATTTTTGTTTGAAGGGGATTGTTCATTTATTTTGATTGTTAAAACGTGTTTTCGTTAAGGTGTGCCATTTCCTTTAAATTGATTGCTTGAGTGATTGATTGTTTGATTGATTATCTGATTGACTTGACTGATAGATTGTTTGATGAACAGTTTCGTATCATAAATGATGCATCTTATTCAAGATTTATGTCGATTTTATCAAAAAATCTTTAATTTTTTGAAGTTTTTCAATCGTTTCATCAAGTTGATTAATGAAGTTAGTGATAAAAGTATTTTTAATTCAATAATCGACGATCTAGTTGATGAAACTCATCTTGTTTTCTTTCAATGATAGTATTGTTACTTTATCGCGTAGTCAGTCTACTCTACTAAATTGCCTTAATGTGATTGATGCGTGTGAAAAATTTTTCTAGAACTGAACTTTTAAAAAATTAAGCGCTATAGTATTTATTTTATAAACACGTCGGTGTTCATGAAAAGTAAATAAAATTAGAAAATACTTTGTTGATGTACGATCACTGCGAAGCGAAATTTGATCAAAATTTTCTTCAAAGTTCTATATTTGATTTTTTCGGATCTAATTCACGATTAATTAGTGAAAATTTAAGAAAGTTTATAGCACTGGTAAATTGTTACAGATTTAGAAATAAATTATTCTTGTCCCACAAAGTCAATCAAAAACACATTATTAATAAAAAAAAAATAAATAATTTTTTAATTTAATTATTAAACTACAAATAAAAAACTTATCTGAGGTTTTTAATTTGTGAAGTTAATTTAAATTTATTTTTATTTTAATAAAACTTTTAAATATTTGATTTTGGATTATTAAGAATTTAGTTAGATTTTTAATTTCTTAGTATTGTAAATGCAAAGTTTGTGTGTACACTACAATGTGCACATGTACAGAGCAATAACACAACGTTGTATGAATGATTGATCAGATCATTTATTCATTTTTTGGTTAATATAATAAAATTTATTTTTATATTTAATTTAATATTAATAATTAAGGAATAATAATTAAATTTATAATAATAATTATTGGTTTTATTATGTGGAAGATTTTACATATCTTGCTTTGTATTTATTTTACACATTTTATGTATGTAATTTATGTACATAATGTATGTGTGTGTGTTTGTGTGTGTGTGTGTGTACGAATGTATATGTATGCAATAAATAAGGAAGTGAAAAAAAAGTGTTTTGGTTTGATTGATTGACTGTTTGAAATGCTAAGGTCATTTTTACGTCATGAAAGTATGGAAAAAATGAAATTAAAAAAGTGAGGAGGATGATGACGACGATGATGGCGACAAAGTTGATGATGACTAAGACAAAAATAATGATAATGATGATTACAAAGATGATGATTACAAAGATGATGGTGGTGGTGTTGATATAGCTGGTGGTGGTATGTGTGAGGATAGTGATAATGTTGCTTTTGATAATAACGATGATGATGAAGAAGACGACGATAGTGATGACGAGAGTTGTCAAGAAAAAGAGAGAGGGGGAGAGAGAGAGAGAAAGAGAGAGAGAGAGAGAGAGAGCATGAGGACAGAAAAAAGAGACAGATGATTAAATATGGGTTTTTTCTGTTATAGTGATTGTTGTTGTTGTTGTTGCGCATGTTGTTATACTTTCTTTTTCTTTGTATTATTATTATTATTTTTATTATTAGTAGTAGTAGTAGTAGTAGCAGTAGTAGTAGCAGTAGTATTAGCATAATAGTAATAATAATAGCAGCGTATAAAATTAGATACAAAGTGTTTGTATTTTACACAACACATTCGTATAACAGCATTACAATAACATTCAAAAAAGCAATGGCCATTGTTGTTGTTGCTGTTGTTGTTGTGATTGTTGTTATTGTTACACTTTTTTGATGTTATTGTTATAAATAAATAAATAAATAAATAAATAAATAAATAAATAAATATATATATATATATATATATACCCACATACATAAGTATAAATGAAATTGATTGTAATATATTGAAATGTATGAATGTATTTGGTTAAAAGACATTAATATTAGCCATTAATCAATTGAAGGTATTTAGTTAAATTACATTAATTATTAAAACTATAAGAATCACAGGAGAATAATGATAATTAATGCCATAGTTAAATTAAACAACAACATTGACAACAACTTCAACAATGATGATGGTGACGACTACAACGACAACGGCAGCCATGACGTCATCGTAGAGGTACTCACTACATCATCATCGTCGTCGTCATCATCATCATCAGTAGCATCCTTATCATCATTAACATCATCATCATCATTTTCCTCCTCCTCCTCCTCTTCATCCACAAATCGAATGACAGCAGCAATTACGTCATCCATTATAAATTATTCTTTTGTCTTTGTACCTTCATTCATTCTGCTATCTTTGGTGGTCATTGCCGATGGCCACACGCACTGGGTGGTCACTGAAAATGGCCGAATACAATCTCAGGTGTGTTTCAGTGATTGGGGTTTTTTTTTCTGTGTGCTAGGCTGTTTTTGATTGGTTGGCTGTTTTTGTGATGTTTTTCTTAAGTGATGTGCTATTTTTGAATTGTCAGTTGTTTTTTTCTGTGGTTTATGTATTTGATCTGTTTGCTAACTAATAGACAGATAACATTTATTTATTTATTTAATTATCTTTCATTTCTTCGTTCATTCATCCAAAATTAATGAACTAATTAATTATAATTAATCAATTAATTAATTTTCCCTATGTTAAATTAATTGTTTCATTCATTCGTTCATTCATTCAAAATTAGAAAACTAATTAATTTTAAATGATTGTAATTGCTTAATTCCTTCATTTGTTCATCAAAATGTGATAAAAGATCCCAAAACCTCTTTCAATGAATACTAAACAAAAAATGACGGCTTACTTATAGTTAAAAATCTGATAGATTGTTGGGTTTTTGTGTGAGTATTATGCGAGGGAGAGAGAGAGGGAGAGAGAGAGAGAAAGAGGGAAAATAAGACGATGTGGCTACTAAAAAATGATGTGACAGATGCTATAGTAACAACAAACAAACAACAATGCTTGTTCGTATTTGTTGTTTGTTTGATAGCGGTTACATTACTGTTAAGTTCGACTGCTGCTGTTTAAAAAGTAGAGAGAGAGATAAAGAGAGGAATGAAAAAATCGAACGTTTAATATTTAAAAACGGATGAGATAAATAGTGCAAGCCAGAGATTAGGAGAAAGAGAGAGAGAGAGGGGGGGGGGGGAATAGAGTGTGAGAGAAAAAAAAAAGAAAAGAGATGCATGGATGGATGATTTAAACAGCATTACACCCAGCACCTCCTTATTTGTGTTTGCCCTGTCAACTGTAAAATAATAATAACACAAAGAAGGGAGGTTTTGATGATGATGATGATTACGGCGGTGACGACGACGACGATGATTGCCTTGTTGTTGTTGTTGTTGATGATGATGATGATGATGATTGCCTTCTTTATTATGATGATGATGATTGTCTTGATGATGATGACGATGATTGCATTGATGATGTTATCGTCTCTAAGTGATGTGTAATTTAATTACGCCTGTTGCATTGGTTACATTTTTTTTTCATCCTAATAACGCAATTGCGAGGAGAGTTTTTTGAATGATGAAAAATCTATTTTTCGTTTTCATGTGGGTTGTTGCGTGTTGTTACCAGGTGAAAAGTATTATTCTAAAATTTTTTCATTCACCAACGTAATAATAGGCTAAAATTCATACGGCCGGCCCACTTTCTTGTCCCCAAGTCCATGTTTCTCATCCACGGCCTTGACCCTGCTCCTCTCATCTCGCTAACCTTTTAGGAGTCACTATCATCATCTATCCTATTGTTTATCGACTATCAACCATCAAACACTACCATCTGCGTTCGTTTTTAGGAAAAACTTGGCTTCCAAAAAATACCATGAGTAGATAATAGATATACTCAGATATAGATATGAATATATATATAATATGGATGTATATCCATCAATATTATATATATATTATATACATACCAATATATATATATAGAATATGGATATATATCTATATTATATATATATCCATATTTATAATATGGATATATACCCATATATCCATGCATTATATGGGAAATTCACAAAAAGTTCGTCTGCTTTGTTACTCCGTTATGAAGTTATTTTTTATCAGAATTTTTTCAAGCAAGTTGCAGATGTTAAAGGTATATCAGCTTGGCTGGGAAGGTGCTTTAGAAATTGTTTTAATTTTCTTTTTCGTTGTTTTTTTTTAAATTATTATTATCGATACACAGCGTAAAAATGCCGACTGAACGACACTTTGGAAAATTATTGACGCATTTCGTTTGCCACAACTCGATTAATTTATCTTTTTTTTTTTAACTTTTGGTGGAGAAATAAACATTGAAAGGTCGCATTGTGGTGGAAAATGTGCTACCCAAGTTTTTTCCTGGTGATTGCTTGTCTTGCCTTATTATTATCGTCACAGTGTGTTGCTAGATACTTTATTGATTAACTACAATATGCCCACCTTACTGTTACTTGTGTTGTTATTATTGTTATTTTCACTATTATTATTATTATTATTATTGTTGTTGTTGTTGTTGTTGCTGTTATTGCTGTTATTAGAGAATGTTGCAAGTGGTTACGTAGCTGTCATTTTGGTGAACGAGAGATTGAGGAAAAAAGACTAAAAAATGAGATTTTTTGTCAAGAGAATGATTGAATGAACGAAAGAACGAATGAATAAATAAATGAATGAACGAATGAATGAATGAATGAAAGAATGAAAGAATGAATGGCCAAATTGCGGAGTACGTGTATTAATGCATCATTGATTAAATAGATGGTCAGGTAAATAAATAAATGGATGACTGAATTAACAAATGATTTTATAACAATGATGGTGGTACTGTTAGTGTGCGTGCGTGTGTGTGTATGCGTGCGTGTGTGTGCGTGGGTGATAGTCAGTTTTGAAAAGCACTTCACGCTTGAACGATTTTAAGGCAACAGTGCGTTAGGATCTTGATAAATATCCTATCTTCATCATTTGTTGTTATTGTTTTTGTTGTTGTTGTTGTTGTTGTTGTCAACGTTGTTGCAGTCATTATCATCATTGCTGCCCGCGTCGTAATTATTAACAATGACGTCATTGTTAACAACAGCCCGACTCCATATACAACCTACAATGCCCCTATGACGTCATGGCCCTTCTGAAACAAGAGCAACGCTTCAAAGTTCTCGAGAATTTAAAGAAGGAGTTGCTTGACCATCGGGTTCTTATGGAGAGCCAGGAGGAAAAAGACGATGGTAAGGATGTTTCGAATTCTTTGTTCTTTGTTTCACTACTCTAACATCACGTCATCACTACTTCATCACACCACCACCACAACAACAACGTCGTCATCACGTCAACATCTTCACTCGCCACAGAATTCGAGAAAGATTTCTACGCCCTGGACGAGAACTGCATTCTGGCCGGCAAGCCTCTCATACATTTCAACCTGTATGACAGCACTTGGATCTCGCTCGAGTCAGATTATTATCTCAATTATAACTATAATTAATTATTTTAATAATAATAATAATTTGTATTGTATTATTAATCAACAACAGCAATAATATAGAGAAAAACTACGCAACACTAAGCCAGGCTATGCTAGAGTTGGCGAACATTAGGCGTCGCGGGTCGCTTTGAATTCAAACCCGGTCACTTTGATCCGAGAAATTATTAATTATAATCAATTTATTATTTGTTATTATATATATATATATATATATATATATATATATATATATATATATATATATATATGTATATATTTTAATTTATTTATAGAACATTTCTAGCAAATAGTCCTGAGCAACACCGATCAATCAAGAAAACCAGCGACAACAACAACAATAATAACAAGAATCATAATAATAATAATAACAATAATAATAATGATAATAACAACGGCGACGAGGGTTACAAATCAGGAGCGGAAGTAGTGCCGGATTGTTCGCAGTACTACCATCTGGATTATAGTATAAACAGTTTTGAGCATTTGCACGTACGTGGTTTTTTTTATTAATTCTAAGATACATCAACAGCTCATTGCTCCTAAGATATATCAACATCTATCAACACATGCAATAGCATGTGACAGGCTGGAATCTCATTGGAATCGTACCCGATCTCTGTAACAGCACTGTCAAGAGCTTTAACCATCTCGCCGCTCGAAGATCGTTGCATTTCTATTTACTAGCATATGTGTTATAATCATGTTCAATGCAGAGTATGAAGCAGCGGGATAACCTAACGATACCGAAGGAATCGAACCTGAGCGAGTTGTATCCATCATTTCAGGACATGAACCAACTTGCTACCTACCTCGACCAACAGCTCAGAATTGTGGGTTTGTGTGTGTGTTTGTGAGAGAGAGAGAGAGAGAGAAGGAGAGAGATAATAGATAAATAGTGATAGATAAATAGAGATAGATAGATAGATAGAGAGAGAGAGAGAGAGAGAGAGTGGTGGTTTATGTGTGGGTGTAAATGTTTGAGCATTTTTTGTTGACACGCGTCACTCTTTATGTTTGGTATGTTTTCGTATACATATACGCATACGCACTTTTACGTGTGTGTGTGTGCGTGTGTGTGTGTGTGTGTGCGTGTGTGTGTGTGTGTGTGTGTGTGTTAGTTATTGATTTGTATGTGTAAACAAAATGAACTATGCAGCAGTAATTTTCGTCGTCTCTGTGCATGTGCGAGTACTACGAGGGACAGAAATATTTGAGAAGCATTCAACCACAGGCGCTACCATCCATTTCTACACTAATGCTTTCGTCGTTTTCATTCATATGATCTTCCTCCCTTTCTTTCTTCCTCCCTTTCTTTCTTTCTTCCTTCCTTTCTTTCTTTCTTTCTTCCTTTCTTTCTTTCTTTTTTTTTCTTTCTTTCTTTCTTCCTTCCTTTCTTCCTTCTTTCTTTCTTTCTTTCTTTCTTTCTTTCTTTCTTTCTTTCTTTCTTACGTCATCCTTGTCGTCATCGTCATTTTCATTATGATCACGCATCATGGGCATCATATTATCTCCCCCTAATTTGCCTAAATCACGAATCATTTATTCTCTGCACATCCGCTTAGGACCCAGCATCATGGCTACACTACTCAATGGCTTCGTACTACTGGCGCATGAGGGGTAACGCTTCCCAAGCTGTCGAGTGTCTCAGGAGGGCTCTGCACCTAGCCCCGAGGTTGTTATCATGATGATGATGGTGATGACGTTGGGGTGGTGATGGTGGTGGTGAAGTGTTGATGATGATGGTGGTGGTGATGGTGGTGATAGTGACTGAAGTGACATCCACGGCCACCAAATATCGCGACCACCGCCACAACAACGACAACGAACGACAGACAATTTCGCGACATTCCACTATTGAGTCTGGCGAACGTACTGCACCAGTCGCACTGGCCGAGAGATGCCGCTGTGGTCCTCCACGCTGCCCTCGACGCCAACAACTACTGCGGGGCTTGCCACTTCACCCTCGGGAACGTCTATGCCGTTAGTATTATTTTTATTATTATTATTGTTGTTCTTGTTGTTATTATTATTATCGATTCTTGGTAATGGCTAGGAGAGCTTACTACTATACACAGTAGTATGCAAAAGTATATGAAGTATGTATGACGCGTAGGTTAGTGTTTATTTATTTATAAACGTTCTCTGTGTGTGTTTGCGTGTGTGTGTGTATGTGTGTGTGAGAGTGAGTGTTTGTGTGTGTATGTTTGTGTGTGTGTGTTGATAAATGAGATAAACTTTTAAGAGGTAAGGTAATAAACTTCGGTTGATATTTTTATTTTATGTATGTATCTATCTATCTATCTATTTGTTTTTTTTTAAGTTTTGTATATAAATTATGTCTTATTTTAGTGCGTGTTGTAAAAAATTTTCTCCTTAAATTTTATTTATTCATGTTTGCTTGTTTGAATGTTTTTTTGTTTGTTTGTTTGTTTGTTCGTTCGTTCGTTCGTTCGTTCGTTCAACCAATCAATCAAACAGACGAAATGAACCAACCAAACAACCAATCAATCAACTAACCAAATCAACCAACCAACCAATCAAATCAACCAACCAATCAACCACGTTCAGGTTCTAGTTGAATTCAACAAATCTCTAACCTGCTACGAAAATGCCTTTCGGATCAACGAATCAAACAAGGAGGCCATAGCTAGAAAGAACGCCATTCTATGTCATTCTAAACTCGAACTGCTTTTGGAGAATAAACATAGGTCTGTTTGCCTGTCTATTTCTCTGTTTGTCTGAATGTCTCTGACTGTGTGTCTGTTTTCTTTATGTTCAATTTGCTTATTGGTTTGTTTTTGTAAACAGACAAACAAACAACCAACCAACAAACTGACTAATCATAATCAACCGACCAACCAACCAACCGACCTATCACGCACGGCCAGCTAACCAATCAAAATCAACCAAGCCGACCAACTAACTGACCAGTGAAGCAGCTTCAACCCCATGACATGACATCACATCACATGACATGACATCACATCACATGACATCACATGACATGACATCACATGACATGACATTACATCACATGACATTACATGACATCACATGACTTGACATTACATCACATGACATTACATGACATCACATGACATGACATTACATGATGTCACATGACATGACATTACATGACGTCACATGACATGACTTGACATGACACAGATCTCTACAGAAAACTCTCGAAGACCTGAAACGCTACCAGGAGAAGCACGAAGTTTGGCAGCAGCATCACAGGAAGCTGATCACCGAGCAAGCCTTCATGGACGAGAGAATCAAGCAGAGACTCTTCTACGATATCCTCTCGCAGCAGCAACAGCATCAGCAGCGTCACTCAACCAGCAATGAAGCTGCTGCTACTGCTGCTACTGCTGCTACTGGTAAGATCAGGATAACATTGATGGTGAAAATGATGGTTGCGATCTGATGTTTGTGATGTGAAGATGACAGGTGATTAATGAGTGGATGGTTGTATCATTCGGGGTATAGCTCAGACGGTAGAGTGTTTGCCATGTTTTGCGTCGTTGTTAGAGCCTAATGACCTGGTTCGAATGCTTTCTGTCGACTATGATTGCCATGTATTATCATGATATTACAATATATCGTGGCGGCTATGTTATTGTCACGGAAGTTTAGTTGCAACTGGGAACATCTATGGCACTAAGAACAACAGCAACTACTACTACTACTACTACTACTACTACTACTACTACTACTACTACTACTACTACTACTATTACTACAACTAATACTACAACAGGAAACAGCAGAGATACCCAAACGTCAACATCAACTTCAACCGGTGATATGAAAACAGCTGCCAACAACAACAACTTGGATGATGATAAATCAGGTTTTGCGAAACAGCAGCAACACTTCAAAATAACGCCGAACAACAACAACAACAACAAAAATATTCACGACTACACTGATCTTCTGCAACATAGGCTGCATGAAATCAACAATGAACATAACACTATCTATAAGGTTTGTTGTTGTTGTTGTTTGTTACTGCTGATGTTGTTGCTGATGTTGTTGCTGATGTTGTTGTTGTTGTTGTTGTCAATTTTGTAACGTTTCTGCCTGTCATGATGGCTTCTTTCATTATTCTTAGAGATATCAACAACACACACATTCACACACACACACACACACACACACACACACACACGAATCTATGATTCACACACATTGCATGTGTTAAGTCTGGATCGCTTTGTATTCAAATCCAGGTACGTTGTGACAGCAGAACCAAGCGTCTCACCCAATAGACTATTTTTTCGGCTGTTTGTATTTATATAGTTATATAATTATATATATATATATATTTATTATACACACACACACACACACGTTTAGACGGCATTTTCCCCGAGATCGGGGGTTGCCGTTTGGCTACCTATGATGAAACCGAAATACCCCTCGACTCCATCCACATCTGTCACTCGCCTCAGTATCACGCAACCCCGCTTTCACCCTGTCCTTCTCCACCTGCTCTCTCCATCCCATGCTTATGATGATATATATTTATTATATAGTTATATAATTATATATATATATATATATATATATACATGTGTGTGTGTGTGTGTGTGTGTGTGTGTGTGTGTGTGTGGTGTGTGTGTGTGTGTGTGACGCCACGTCAGATAGGTAACAAAATACAAAATAAAAAGAAAGTGCCATAATCTAGGGGTCTGTCTATTAATTACTATGGATCGTTAGTTCTGTTGTTGTTATTGTTGTTGTTGGTGATGTTGTTGTTGGTGATGTTGTTGTTGTTGGGGATGTTGTTGTTGTTGGTGATGTTGTTGTTTTTTGCTGACTGCTGAAAAGAATGATGATGAAGATGATGATGATGATGATGCAGCTGCTCATGACGATTTGGCTTGTAGGATGACGATTAAAATGATGACACGACTATAATGATTATGGCCAAGATGATGATGTTGCATCATGTAAATACACATTTATACAAACATAAATACATACACATACACACACATACATACATACATACATACATACATACATACATACATACATACATACATACATACATACATAGATATAAAATGCTTACCTGTTATATTTCTGTCCTACAGTACACCTTGACAGTTAGATTGTTTGATTGTTTGGTCTGTCTGTCTCTGTGTGTGTGTGTGTGTGTGTGTGTGTGTGTGTGTGTGTGTGTGTGGTGTACGTAAATATAAATGTATTGATATTTATCTGTCGGTGTGTTGGCCTATTTGATTGTTTGTGTGTTTGTATGTTGTATGCATGTATGTTAGGTGTGTTTGTATATGTGTATATGTATAATCTATATAAATGCCTGTGTGTGTACAAATATGTTATACATATATGTTTGCATCAGATTTTTTGATGTTTCACGTGTTTCACATTTCGGTTTTTCATTTATATATTTATCTATGAATATATTTTTATGCGTGTGTGTGTGAGTTTATAGGTGTGTATATGCGTGTGTGTGTGTTTGCGTGTGTCTGTGTATTTGTGTGGCGTGGGTGTGTGCCGTGTGTGTTGTGTGCGCGTAGGTGTTGTATGTGTGTGTGTGTGATGTGTGTGTGTGTGGTGTGTGTGTGAATATATTTTAATGTGCACACACTCACACACACGTTTAAAAAATGTTTTTCATTATTCAGTGGTGGTGTTGTTATTGATCAGCTCTGTCATAGCTCCTATTTATTCATTCGTTCGTTTGTTCGTTCGTTCGTTCGTTCGTTCATTTACTTATTCATCTATTAATTCATTCATTTGTTCACTCGTTTGTTCGTTTACTTGTCTGTTCGTTCGTCCATTATTTCGTTCATACATATATTCTTTTGTTGGTATTTTTAAAATAATAATCTCAATCATGGCTTAAAAATGATTCTAAAATCCTGAAAAAAAAATTTAAATTGATATTTTTGTAACATCATCCCATGTAAAATAACATTTGAAATGAATAAGAATCACAGAATCGAGATTTAGAATTTTTTCAAAGCTCTCTCTTTCAATTTCTTTCATCTGTAGACCTGAGATAATTGACGAATGATGGATACATGAACGTTTCAGTTTAGATCATTAGTGATTTTTTTCAAAATACTTCATATTAATTTGTACAAATGTAAAATCATTCATTTAGTCAATCATTCATTCATTCATTCACTCATTCATCCATTCATTCATTCACTCATTCATTCATTCATTCACTCGATCGAACAACCAAACAGATCAACCAACCGTTCGTCTCGACCGACTGGCCAACTGAAGGCGAGTGCACACGCAACATCCAGCACTATCCGTCATGGAGCGAGTTTCAAACTGTATTCCTACCCTTAGAAAATAGGGGCTTTGAGTTAGTGAAGATGGCGGCGATGGTGATAATGATGATTGTATCGATGACGATGATGATATTTGTGTCGATGATGATGATGATGATGATGGCGTTGTATGTGATAGTGATGTGATGACGATTGTGACGTCATACACTCAAAACAGCATCACCAATATCCTGGGGCACGCGCAGGGGCTAGAAATCGGTCAGGCCCACCCCTTCCCCTGGTACCCACCGGTCTGCTCGTCATCGTCGTCGTCACCGTCTGCCGATTTTCCGGAAGGTTCCAAGACGTACGATCACCTGTCGGCTGTTCGTGACCGGGCTCAACTGAGAGTGAAGCTGGAAGATTCAGCCATGAAGGAGGTGACGATGATTATGATGACTGTGGTGACGATGATTGTGATGATGATGGTGACGTTGATTATGATGATGATGGTGACGTTTATTATGATGATGGTGGTGACGATGATTATGATGCCGATGATGACGAGGATAATTATATTTGATCTAATTCAATTGTAACTTATTTTAACAGAATTTCTATCCTTCGAATACATTTTTTTTCAATTTTTTATTGGTTATCTTCTCTTATATAGGTTCTTCTGTCGTACGTGGTACAGGAAGTTAATTTCGAAACAACCATCGAAGAGATCGGCCAGAGGATATTGACTGCTCTAAAGAAGGCGCGTTTGTGTGTATGTGTCTGTGTGTGTGTATGTATGCCTTTGTGTATGCGTGTGTGTGTGTATGTTTGCCTGTGTGTGTTTATGTCTGTGTGTGTATGTGTTTATATCTGTGTTTGTGTGTCTGTTTACGTTTGTGTGTGTGTGTGTATGCATGTTCGTCTGTATGTGTTTGTGTGTGTGTGTGTGTGTGGGTGTTTGTATTACCAAGCGAACAATAGCAGCAGAAACCACAAACGAAAGATTTCCATCAACAACAACAACACCAAATCATCCAAAACAGAACATCGGCCCATCATGGCTCCTCTACAACATGGCGGGCTTATTTTGGCGTGTGATGGGAAATCCTCTGAACAGTATCGAGTGCATTCGGTATGCACTGCATCAGGCTCCAAACAATTTTAGAGATGTGTCCATTGTCAATCTGGCCAATGTCCTCTATCGCATAGGTCGGTTGGGGATTTGGAATTGAATTAACGAATGTGAAATTTGATCGACTGACTTTTTAGATGGTTGGTCGACGGCTGGTTGATTTGTTGCTTTATTGGATGTTTTGTAGATTGGTTGATTGATTGATGGATTGATTGATTGATTGATTGATTGATGGATTGATTAGTTGAATGGTTGGTTTTGGTTAATTGATTGATTGTGCGAAAATTATTGATGGTTAAATGGAGAAACGCCTCTGAAATATTTTTGTTTAAGTATGCCCATTGCGTGTCATATGACGTCTTTCTTAATTGGGTCATATTTATTTTTATATTAGGCCGTGTCAAGGACGCGGTCAAGGTCATGAAAGACGCCCTCGCTATCAATAAATACGAGGTCTTGTTAGATTTACCACATTTTCAACTAACTAATTATTTAATCTTTTCCCAAAATCTCCGTTAAAATTTAACCACAAATACTCAATCAACCTAAACAATGCTAAAACACAACACTATCATCACAACGTAGAACAAAACAGACAAACAAACAAACAAACAACCGATAGAAATATACCACATGCTTACGAACGCACACACACACTAATACTCACACACACACACGCGCGCACACTCAGCCTAACTCGCTATTCTTCATGGGCAACTTACTGGCCGCGCTGGGCAACGTCAGTGGAGCCATCAACTACTACACCGAATGTTTGACCCTTGACCCCACCTACCAAAACGCCCTCAAAAATCTCAGGGTCATGATGTGCTATCAGAAGTTTCATCAAAACAGGCAGACGAGTCTAGACAGAGATGATGATAATGATTCTGGCGCCAAAAACTATAAATATGCCGGTGGTAGTAGTAGTAGTAGTAGCGATGGTAGTGATGATAGCCACCTTAGTAGCAGCAGTAGTAGCGGCGGCGGTAGTAGTGGCTATAGAGGTAACGATATTCGAAAGTTTTGGCAGAACGTTAAAGACCAGAGAAAGGTTCACAAGTGGAATCTGGTTGAAATGTGTTCTCAGGTTGGCTGGTTGGTTGTTGATTTGTCGGTGAAGTGTTTGTACAAACTTGTGACCAAAATGATTATTTGATAAGTTGATTATTTATTTGTTCTTGAGTTCTCGAGTATGTTTGTATGTGTTTGTATATTTGTGTTTGTATATTAGTGTTTGTATGCTTGTTCGTATTCTTGTTTTGGCGCTTGTATTCATTTTTGTGTATTTGTTTTTGAATGGTCGATTGTCAAGTTAAATATGACAAATTTTTATATTGCATAAATAACATATATAACAATAAATCAATCATCAATCAATCATCAATCAATTATTCAATCAATCATCAATTAATCCATCATTCAATCCATCAATCAATCATCAATCAATTATTCAATCAATCATTCAATCATCAATTAATCCATCATTCAATCCATCAATCAATCATCAATCAATTATTCAATCATCAATTAATCCATCATTCAATCCATCATTCAATCATCATTCAAGGGCTCTCCAATGAAGAAACCAATAAGATTAATGAATCATCACCACCACCACCATCATTATCATCAACATCTGCATCAACAACATCATCATAATCATCATGACTCTTGCAAAGTTTGTGGGGGTGGTGGGGGAAGCCCAGGGAGTGGTGGAGGGGGGGGCCCGACGTTCGAGCAGAGGATTTGCCAGGGTCTGAAACCGCATCACTACTTTGAGGAAGTTGATGAGGATGAGATTGCCAGGAAAAGTAATTATGATCAATAGTTATAATTAATTATAATAAATAATAATAATTATTATAATAAATTATAATTATTATAATAAATAATAATTATTATAATAAATTATAATTTATTGTTTGAATTATTTAATAAATTAATATAGTTGTGAAATAAATTATAATGGTAATTATTCCAGTGATGGGTTCTTGTGATTTTGATCCGTTCGTGCCACACAGACATACGCCAAACAGTAGAAGTGCTGATGGTAATGGTATGTGTCTGTATGTATGTGTTTGTATGTATGTGTGTGTTTGTATGTGTGTTTTTGATGGATTGTGTGGCTGAATTTTACTGTGTTTTTTATGAATTCAAAACCAGAAGCTAAGTCTTCAGATGAGCCTATATGAATTAATACGTGTGTGTTCGTTCGTGTGTGTGTGTGTGTCTGTATGTGTTTTCTGTACCAAACTAAACTCTCATTTTAAAGGGAAGATTTCGTTTACTATTAATAAATACACATATATAAATTTATGCAGATTAAGAAACTTGTCCAGGGGTGTTGAATTTGATTCCATCTATTTAAAATCTGAATTTAAAGAAGGAAGAAATACACACACAAACAAACACACATACACAAACACACACGCTGCTTTATATATATACATATATTTTGATATCTTTTGTCATTCACATTTCATTTTCCATTATCTGTGACTGTCTTCGCATTGATGAAATAATTTTCATTATACGACGGCAAATATTAATTAAATAAATAACTAATTAATTAGTGTTATTGGTGATGCTAACTGACACTAACCGATAGAAAGGATATTTTATTGAAACGATAAATAGTTTTTATTAAAGAATGTTAAATTTTTATTTTCATTATTTTTTCAAAATTATTATTGTGTCACATCAAACAGTGTCTTATGATAAATAAATATATATACATATACATGGATAAACACACACATACACACACACGCACAAATGAATAACTAACCATAAGCACGTGAACTGCTAAAACATATTACTACTATTTTTTTTACCTTTAATTCCTTGTTAGCGCTTATTTAAGTTAAGCTCGGAATTTTATTTTGACGCACGCACACACATACGCACACGCACGCGCACATTCACACACACACACTCATATATAGTTTTTGAGTTTTATGCGTAAAAAAGTTTTTTAAAGTAAACGATTTTTTCCTCTGTATATTAGATGAATGGTGATATTTTATGATTTTCTAAGCCTACCCAATTAATTAATTAATTAATATTAATTTATTTTGTTATTGATTCATTTGTCTTTTTAATTTTTTTGGTTAATTTTTTTAAGAAAAAAAAATAAGAGCCTGTCTTGTATTTTTTTTCAATGTTTTCTATTACCATAACTAGAGTCATTCAAAAAAAGTTAATTTCTCCCCCTTTGATGATCTGATTGGTTGGTTGTCCTTTCGTTGTAATCACCAATTAAACAAATAACCATTCAATTGACCAACCAATCAAATGATCAATTAACCAACCAATCAATTAACGAAATGATCAATTGGTTAATTACCCCCGAACTGTCAATCAAAAAGTCAATTCCATAATAAAACCTATCAACCAAAAATCAACCGGCCAATCACGTGATCAATAAATTATTTATTTAGTGGCCGTCATTCATCTCCGCCTTTCCATACTTTTTCTCCCACCTATCTATGTATTCTAATTTCCTCTGTTCGCGCTTTTTGAAATATTCCGGATATTGGAGTCTTTCCAATGGATGCCACATGTCTAGCATCTGTGTGTGGTAGGTGTGTGTGTATCTAATTGTTGTGCGTGCGTGTGTTTGTGTGTGGTTTTTGTGTCCCGTTTAGTCTATTTGTGTGTTGCTGTTTGTATACGTGGTGCAAGTGTGTGTTTGTGGGCGTTGTTTGTGTATGTGTTAGTGAGTGTCTGTGCTGGTGATGTTATTATTAGAGGTTAAGATGAAATTACTAAAAATTTAAGAAAGAATTATCAGCAAATGCAATAAAAAGCTTAATATTATGATGAATAATGTAGATGAATACTACAATAAATAACGATAATTATTAAAATAATTATAATTGAAGGATGTAGTGGCAGCAGTTACAGAAGATCCCTAACCCAATCTGGGTAGTAAACCTCCCTTTCAAATGCTATCCCACCAGGAGAGTTTGGAACTGGGTTTTTACAAAATAATTTTTAGTTTTTGTTATTTTCAAAAATTAATAATTATTAAATTAAAAATTAAACTAATCAATATATTCTACTACCAATACCTTTGTTAAGGCAGCATCAAAGTTTGTATATGATATTTGTGCAATACATTTAAAAATCAGATTATTATTATTATTACAAATACAAGTAAAAATGAATGATCCAGTAAATTGTCCAAACAGTTGTCTTACATTTGAATGGCTGGGGGTGCAAATTTTCGAAGAGTTCTTTTTCACCATCTTCCAACATCTGCTTGGCCTTCACCATGTCGCATTCATTCTTGTTCTGATCGAATCTGTCTCTCAACAAGACGGCCTCGTATCTATACAGATGTCTGTATAAGTGTGTAATTGAAAAAAAAATGATTAATTAACTACTTATTTTATTTTTGAGTTTTTATTATGAGACAAGATTTCCCATTTTATTAATAACATTTAATTTTTTAAAAGATGTTTTTATTTTTTTTTAATTTTTTTAAATAAATCACAAATCAGCAAATAACTCTCCAATAAAATCACAAATAAATCTCAAGCTGAATTTTATATAGACAATCTCATTAACTATACCTTACTAGCTAACGAAACGATAAATTAAAATTTAATTAGAAAAAACATTATCATTATTTTTATTGTAAAAATTTAAAACAAAACAAACAAAACAAATTTTAAATAAAAAAATTATTTGCCTGAAAGTGTAGTATGACTGAAGATTTCTCAGGGCCTCTTTGTAAAGTTTTCTGACCCTCTGACCATGGGAGAGAACTTTAACTTGGAGATAAGATGTCATGTTCACTTTTTAAAATGACAAACTTAAGTTAGGGATTAGATTAGTGAAAGGTTAACAGCAGTCCGCCATATATAAATATCTCGGATTGTATTTTTAATTTAGAGGGCAAAATAAATGTTTGTATTTTTATGTTTTATTAAATAAATTGCAATATTTAAAGTAAAAAACATGTTTACTTTATTGAACAAATTTTAATATCTAATTTGTATTTTAAGCAGAATATATTTTTACTATTAAACTAAAGACGCGCCCAATGTTTATATTATAATCGTCCACTTTTAAACACTTTGCTGACGCGAATGAACATACACGGTAGCAGTAGTCTCAGCACTAGGACTAATGATGAGTTTAATAAAATAAATTATTGTTTTCTTAAATATCGTTTCAAATCATAAAAAAATGAAAAATCATGTTCGCGATACTATTTCACACCAAATATCGCGAGGTCCTGAAAATAATATGTCTGTGCCTTTTCTGGTACATGGTCAGTTCGGCCATGGGCGTAGTGGGGAAGTTAGTACTTAGCGACTTTCCGTACCCTATGACGGTCACAATGGTACAACTACTTTCCATATCCGTCTACCTAATTCCGGTGATGAAGAGTTTCGTGAAGACATCCTGGATTCCCTATCATATCCCACTGAAGTACTGGCTACAAATCATCCTGCCACTGTCGTTTGGGAAATTTGTGTCGTCTGTATCATCTCACATCAGTATCTGGAAGGTTCCTGTATCTTATGCCCACACAGGTTGGTTACATTGCTGCTCTATCTCTTACTTTTCTTCACATACAATACACACACATATACATACACTCTCCTTCTCTAGTATTGTCTTTTCTTCTAAAGCTGTTCTTTCCAGTCTCTTTCTTTCTCTCTCTCTCTTTCTCACTCTTTCTCTTTCAGTTAATTAATTAGTTTGCTAATCAATTCTTTATTTTTTTCTAATTGACATTACATTCTTTCTGCCTTTCAATTTTGTCTAAAATAAAGTCTTTTAAATGTAATTTGATCTGTCATCAGTTGGAGAGTAATTAAATTAATATAAGTGGAATATACTGAATGAAGTGTGTTGGTGTGTATGTGTTGGTGTGTCTGTGTGTATGTATTTATTTATTCAGTTATTGAATTTATTCTATCTATTCTTTAATTAATTAATTTGTTTATTTTTTTAAATTTTTTCATCATTTAATTATATTAAATAATTTTTCAACCCCCAGTTAAAGCCACGATGCCATTTTTTACTGTAATCTTATCTAGGATAATATTGAAAGAGAAACAAAGCAAAAAGGTGTTTTTTGTTTTCTATGTTTTTGTCTCTTTGTTTGGTTTTTTTAAAAGTTTGAAAATTGTGACAGATGCTTAGGAGTTTGTATAACATTTGTAACAGAAAGAAAAGATGTTGATGGTATCAGGTTGTTGTAGTGATTAGTTAATGTGACATATTGTTAAGCCTTCGTAAAATTTGTATGTATGTGTGTGCGTATGTGTGTGTGTGCGCATGTATGTGTGTATGTGTGTATAATAATTGATAAGTCTGAGTAAAATTTGTATGTGCGTGTATGCGTATGTATGTGTGTGGGTAAATGTGTGTGTGCGTATATATGTGTGTATAATAATTGTTTTTTGACATATTTACATATTTATATTTGCTTTCTTGAGGAATGTAATGTAAATATGTTAGTGTGAATGTATGTTGTTGTTGTTGTTGCCCTTCCTAAGACGCCTAGGCGAGGCCCAAGCCAGTTTGCCACTTCCACCTGTTTTCCACAGATCTATTATTTTGGGATGTGTGCAATTCTGTATGAACCTGTATGAATGTATGTGTGTGTGTGTGTGTGTGTGTGTGTGTGTGTGTGTGTGTGTATGTGGGTGTGTTTATATGTGTGTGTGTTTGTGTAGGCATATTAGTTTGTTCATAATTTTTTGTATTGTTACATTTCTCATCATATCTCAATTTATTTTTAAAGAAACTATTCTGGTGTTTGTAAGACCCTTACTAAATAATAACTATTTCAATTTTTAAAATAATAATTGTAGTTATAGTACTAATTATAATTATAATATTGTTAATTACATTTTATAATTATCCAGATTTATTTATCCTTGGTACCAATAATATCTGGGGTAGTGATAGCCTCGTTGACTGAACTTTCCTTCGATATGCTGGGTCTTATTAGTGCATTGGTCTCAACTATCGGCTTTGCTCTGCAGAATATTTTCTCTAAAAAGGTTTGTTGGTGGATTTCTCTCTCTCACTCTCTCCTTCTCTCTCTCACCCTGTTTTCATGTTTGTGAGTATGTGTGTAGTATGTTAGTCTTTATTTAATGTTAGTGTTGCTTTGCACATGAAGATTCTTAAAGTTTCTCACTCTCTATCTCTATCTCTCTCTCTCTGTTTTTTCGTTCTTTTTTCTCTTTCTCCCTCTTTTCCTTTCTGTTTGTGTGTGCAGCTGCTTAAACTGTTGAGGAGTGATAGAGAGAGAGAGAGAGAGAGAGAGAGAGAAGAGAGAGAGAAAGAGAGAGAGAGAGAGAGAGAGGTAAAAGATAGAGGGAGAAATGTACTACAGAGGAGTGTAAATTTCTTGTCTCTTTTTAATGAAAACAATTACTAGATAATAAAATTACTCCATTTCTGAATAGTTAAACTATGAAATCTACCTACCATTACAAACTAGCATCATTGAATTGCTTGACTAAAAATCACTTTTATATAAGTCACTGTTGAATAAATTAACCACAATATACACTTATATATTTAAGATTACCGAATTACCTAAGTGAAAAATCACTAACTTACTGAAGTGCTAAACTACTAGATTGCTGAATTGCTTACTAGATTACTGTGTCTCTGAATTACTAAACCGTTGAATCACCCACCTGATTTAGTGTTTGAAAGAGGTAGGGCTGCATGAATTTTCCCTACTTTTTACCCTTGCCATCATAGCTGGCTGCATGTTTCTTCCCGTCTGGGTCTTTTACGACCTATCTAGGATTATTGAAGATACTAGTTTGGTTAGTTGTCTGTGTGGGTGGCTGTCTGGTTTTTTGTCTGTGTGGCTGTCTGGTTTATTGTCTGTGTGGCTGTCTGGTTTATTGTCTGTGACTCATCTATTTAATTACTCATCCATATATCCATCCATCCATCCGTCCATATATCCATCAATCCATCCATCAATCCACTAATTCATTCCTTTACTACCGCCGCCCCAAACAGTCGCACAGCATGCACCTACCGAGACTTATAGCCCTCCTTGTCATAGACGGCTTCTGCAACTTTGCCCAGAATGTCATAGCCTTTTCCATCATAGCTCTAGTGACGCCGCTGAGCTACGCTGTAGCTAACTGCACGAAGCGTATAGCTGTCATCTCAGTTTCCCTTCTGGTCTTGGGCAATCCAGTTACAGCTGTCAACGTTGTCGGGATGATGACCGCCATATTTGGAGTGCTGCTGTATAATAAGGTTGTCGTCTGTCTTGCTGCTGTTGTTGTCATGGTTGATGTTGTTTGTGTTGTTGTTTCGGTTGTCGTCTGCCTTGCTGCTGTTGTTGTCATGGTTGATGTTGTTTGTGTTGTTGTTGTTGTTTCGGTTGTCATCTGTGCTTGATGTTGTTGTCATGCTTGATGTTGTTTGTGTTGCTGTTGGGTTTTTATTTCTATGTTGTTGTCGTTGTTGTTGTTGCTGCGTGTTATTATTTCTTTGTTGCCCTTATTGGATTTCATTCTTTTTCTTAATTAATATTTAAAAACTTCTAAAAAAAAACACGCACACCACTGCAGGCCAAGTACGATCAGCACAGAGAAAAGAAACATCTACCAGTTCTACCCTCTTACGAGATAAAAAGCAGCCACAACATCAATAGCATCATCAGTGATAGCATCAGCAACGGTTATATAGGGCACTACAATAAGAATAATATGGAAATTATTGCCAGCACTGACAACAGTAAGTTACTAGTTGTCTGAGGGTTATGATACACGTAGTTTCACCAACGAAATCATCACATCACTACGGTTATAATAACAATGATAATAATGGTAACATCACTAATCTCAATAAGTACGTTAATGTCAGCTAAAAAAATGATGTCATTACATTAACAATAATAACGTTAATTGATATGTACCAGTACTACTTTCTGTTGCTAAGGATGGTTTTTTCATTGCAATTGTTTTTCTTGTTAGCGCTCTGGAGAGTTGATGTGATTTTGTTAAGGTTTTTGTTAACGAATGTAAAAACTACACCACTCACCCACGCACACACAAACAGACACACACACACAGACACACACAAACACATATTGACAGATATAGGACTACAGTAAACAACGCGAAAATCTTATGACCTATTTATTGTGTTCTAAATGTTGTTTTGGAGTGAATTATGTAAAAAAAGAATTTTTAATTTGTAAAAATTTGACAATTGAAGTGTGTGTGTGTGTGTGCGTGTGTGTGTGTGGTGCGCGAGCATGTTTTTTCTTCTTAAATGATACATGATATTACTGCAATCTTCGGCATAGTTCTGCATGTTGAATTGTTTTAAGAGACGTTTAATCGTTTGCTTTTGCTACGTGTCTTTCTCTCTGTGTGTGTGTGTGTGTGTGTGTGTGTGTGTGTGTGTGTGTAGTTTAAATTTTGGTATTGCTTTTTTTTCAATTTTTTTTCAAAGGATGACTTAAAAAGCTCTGCTGGCGATTTTAAGTCGCATAATTGAGCTAATTACCGTAAATTAATTAATTAATTCATTCATTCAGTTAATCATTCAATCGATAGATCCAGAAATTCGTTATTCATTTTTTTTCAATCAATCAATCGATCGTCCGGTCGTTTATACACATATAAAAATGTTCATCAGTCATTCATTCATTCGTTTATTATTTCTCCATTCATTCATTCATTCGTTTCTTTCATTCATTCATCGATGTCATTTTTTGACCATTCTATTTGCAACCAGACTTATTCTTCATTTGTTCATTGTAACACCT